ATCTCATTGAGCTATGTTGCATTCAGCACAATTAAATAATAACAATAATAGTTAAAAAAAAAAACTCCTCTTGTGTACACATCACATGCACAGGCACCAGCGCAGTCATGTTTGTCAGTGTGCATGTGTGTGAAGAGAGAAAGACTACTCACAGAAGAAGCCTTGGCAGAAGGAAGAATGTATTGGAAAACATCAGCACATTGTTCCTTAGTCTGATAATCACCACGACTAGTATTTTTGTGCACAGCCAGTTCATCATCATAAGATGAGTCAGATCTGAGATTAAGACCATATAAGCAAAAAAAACACTGATCCAAAGCATTATCTATCATTAGCTCAAGTTCCTCCTTTTCATCTTTGGTAAGCTCATTGGCACATTCATCAAGCTGATCACCACATTTTTCTCCAAGGTTGATTTTGTCCTCATTACTGCATTGCTTTTCATGTGCTATTGCATGGTCTTTCTCTTGGCCAGAACAAGATGGAGTTCCTTTAGAAGAAATCCTTTCAATATCATCCTTCATCGCAGCAATGGATTCGGAATTTTGAGTTCCACCCATTTCCACATCTAGCTTATCTGAACTTATTTCGTTTTCCGATGTTTTGACAGTATCATCATTGCTTGGCTGCCTATCATCTGGACTTGTCTCCCTGTTTGAAGAGTTAACACTGGATTTTAGCTTCATGTCCAAGGCCAAGAGATGCTTTATGGCAAATTTAAGAAATGTTGCTTCCTCCCCTTCACCACCCTCACCCGCACAGCAAAGCCCATATTCAGCAAGCAAGTCATGAGTTGCCACAATTAATTCAACCTAAGACAAGAAGTCAGAAAACAGAAATTAAAGATATATACACATGCACACAAATGCTGTGAGAAAAAGAATAATCAATACATCAATGAGTGGATTGCTAATTTCTTCTTCAAAAAAACTAATGAAAAATTTACCTGGGTTTTAACAGTTACAGAAGGGTCAAGATGTTGAAGCTTGCAGAAAGCAATGGCTGCATCAATGAAGCAGTTACTTTGCTTTTGTTCTGCTTGATCAACAATTACTGGCATAGAAGATTTCTTACAAAGGACAGTGTTTGCAATGTTGTACATGATTGCCAGAAGCAGTGATTGAATGTAATTTAAGATGCTGACCAAAACAGTGCCACTCTGCAACCATAGCTAAAATGAAGTCAAGATGCAGTAGAGGGAAATAAAAAGGAAAATATTCTCATTTAAAAATTAACCAGGAGTCAGAACAGAAGGGTATGTTTCTCAAATATCAAAGAACTTGATCATGTAAGATTGGGCTTACATGAAGTGGATTACAGAGTTACTAGTACTTTAATCTAGACTACAATCATAAAAAGCATTTCTGCTGGGAAAAAATTACTTACAGAATCTCGAGATTGATCAATGAATTTTTTCACTTGTGAAACACATTGTAAAATTGACTTCACTTCCTCTCCAACCAAGTGATTCTGGTGATTGCTTGAACTGTCACTTGATACCATCTCATGACCAGAAAACATTTTTGACCCTGACTTCTGATGAAAGGATTTATAAAAAGCAACACATTCACCCATTCCAGCTAGTGCCATAAGTATTTGAAGCTTTCGTGTGTGACTATTCAAATACACCTCAATATCCATTGGCTTTATCTTCTGACAAGCTCTAATTAATATATCTAATGCTGATAGTTCAACAGATGTAACACCCCCGCCCTTTGGGTCAGTAGCCAGTAAAGGTGATATATAATTGGCAGAAAAAAGAAGAGGAGCAAGCAAAGCTACACATTCCAGATACATCTCCTTCTCAATCATCTCACCTAGAGTCTTCTCCAACAAGAAATCAACCTTTAACAAATTTATTTCATGAAGAATCATCTCAACAGTTAACTCTTGAGTAATCTTACAATGTGGCAGCTGCACCATGCATAAGGGATTGTTTGCATTTTCCTTCTTCACCAAAAGTGACATGCAAATGCAGAATTCCTCATAAGCTTTTGCCTTGTTCCCTTCCAGAACAGATAACTGTCCACTCAACCAGAAGTAGCGAACCCAGAAGGGACTTTTGTGAGATAACAAGAAACTATCTAAATCTGAACTTTCACAAATAGTGTTATTGGATGATATTCCGTCAGTGCCTTGAAAACTCTTCAATGAAGAGCAATTCTCATTCCAAAATGTCACATGAAATGGATGATCTAAAGCTACTGATTCAATTATTTTACAAAGATGGAAAGATGCCTCCGATGAAAATTCAGATGCATTCGAGGAATTGGAGGGAGAAGACCCAATGTTGTGGTACAATTCAGCAAGAAAAAGACTACATTCAGGAGTCCTATCCTGCCCCCAATGCCTTGTCAATTTCTCCAACTCAAGGAATTTGACATGCGCATCTGGATGCACAAGGTTTCTACTTGAGGCATGTTCCAAAAGCAAGTGACCCATATGGTAAGCACCATAATTATTTGAAGTTTCTCTTATAAAGTTAGCAACATCTCTACATTCCATATCCAAGGAATTTGCTTGTTCAGCAAATGAGACTGAACGATTAACAACATCATCAGAATCTTTACCTTCTGGTTTACTCAAGACAAAAGATTCTAGTAATTGAAACACAATCTTGGCCAAATCCTTACCAGCAGCAAAATCTAATTCTTCTTTGCCAGGTTTACGACTCCTAAGCCTTTCAAGACGAGTACTCCGCCTCTCCTGTGGTTGTTCTTCCAAAAAATTTGATTCTTTTTCTTTCACATTACTTGCTCTTTCAGAGTCACAATCAGCAGGATGCATGCTTTCATCACTTGAAGCTAAAGTAGGAACTTTCTTTTCCACAGGCTCCATGACAATTTCAGAACTAGGAGGGAAGAGTATACTTAACCTCACATCCCCAGATCTGTGCAATTTTCCAGTCCTAACCTCAGATCCACAACCATTCAGTGGAAGTAAAATTCCCAGGAGTCCATCAGCAAGAGCAGCCCAGGAAGCTTCTGCAATTTGCAATTCTATGTTCTGGTTCAGCTTTTTGAGTGCAGTGCCCTCATCTAGATTCTCATCAAGTGCTTTTCTCTTATCATCAAATTTAAGACGAACATGTTTAGGTTCCAGCTTATCTATACCTCTAGGAGCAAAAGGAACTGATTCAGACTCCTCAATAGTATTTTTGACATGCAGGGCACGAGAATGCGATGGCCAATGCCTTAAAATCAACTCTGCAACAGAAAGGCATGCAACTTCATCACCAATGGCAATGAGAACTTCCAACAGTTTCTCCATGCAATTCCCTGCCACATATATAATCGATTGTATGCATCATGAAAATTTGACACATAGCACACAGCAAGAGAACTAAGAACAGAAACGACTGAAGCAGATAAATGCTCACAATTGTTAGGACTGCACAAAAGTCCCTGCTCAAAAGCCCAACGTGAAATACTCAACGAACCCATTGAGCAAGATAGAGTTCCCAGCTGGTTCCAGACGACTGAATCTTTGTTATCAATCTCTACAGCTTGAAGATAACAATGCAAAGCACTCTCATAATGACTTGAACCTTGTTGAAGAAAAACAGTGGCAAGGTTCTTCAAGGCCAAAAATCTGCACAGAACCAGATGAAAAACATTAACACACATGCTTTCAAGAATAAGATGTCATAACAAAATACATTTATTCGGTACAACTAGCAGATAAATCTAAATCACAGCAAATTTATTCAATCAAACCAAAGACCACATGACTTTACCAACACTTCTATAAAATGAAATCTCTACAGAAACTTATAGAGAAGACACAATTTACATAAAACTACAAAACCAATGATTCATAGGCATCATGGTTTGCTTTCTAAGATGCAATAAAAGGAAAGTAGTCACACATTACCAGAGTAAAAGAATCAAAACTATGCAAGCATACTATTTAAAACTAAGTTAGATATAGGTAAGAAGATAGCTCTTAACTTGAGTTGTAACAGATGGCAGTCAGTAGTATTGCTATCCACCTGAATAAATTAAAAACAAGTAATTACTTAAAAAAAATTTAAGGCAGTTGCAGCTGAAAACTTTTCATGGAACAAGACAGGTACTTGAGCATTTGAAATGAGAGGATCTTTCAGAACCGATTCTAACAGTTCGCGAGCTTTTTCATACTCTTTAGCCTGTAACTTGAGAAGCCCATCATGATAAGTTTGTGTAAGATGGGATTCCTGCATCAAACCATAAAAGAAATCAATTTTATTCTTTTAAATAACAAGACCAAAATCAAATGTAGAGCTATACACTCTCAAAAGTAAAAACTAAAAATACAATAAAGAATCCCAAAATTCACTCTTTAGGAAAAAAAAAAAAAATAAAACCCTCAAATTGTTCAACTAAAAAAGGGTTCAGAACTGCGAAGCAGCTTTTTTTTTTTTTTTTTTTACCTTAGCGTTGTCAACTTAGGATTGACAAGATGAACATGAATAAGATTCAAAGCCGACACAACAATGGAAACAATGCAATTTGAAACAATTTTTTTTTACTCTAATTAATTACATTCAAATATGTTAAAAGAAATAAAAGCATGCCTGAGCTTCTTTAGTTGGAGCTAAGGGTTCCCATTGGCCTCTGGAATCCGTATCATTAATAGCTGCGATTGAGAACTGAAACCCACACAAAAAAAGTTAAAAAATAAAAAATAACTCCCTTCGACAGCAGTCAAGAAAAGATTAAAGAACAAAACAATCATCGTACCATTTTTTTTTTTACTTCCTTGTTCGAATGCTGTCTTGAGGAGACTCTTCAAGTCGTTGCTCACTTGCTTTTGGCTTGCTTCAGATTCAGGCGTGTTCTATTCCTTTTAGTTTTCTTACCATCCCAAATCGTTTTTTCTGGGATTTTCGGGTTGTAAGACTGTAAATATTCTTCCACTTTTTCATTAGAAATAAACAAATAAGGGAAAATTAGCATAAGAGGCCCAACGGCCCAACCGAAGACATCTAAGAGGCACCGTTTAAAAGCCCAGACGCCAAAACAGAATTTACTTCCCTCAAACAGATTTTCACTGCTGCGACGAAAACAGATTCAAACTGAGACAGATCAGAGCTTCGGATTCTGGTAAGTCCTGTGAATGTTATAGATTCTGGGTAAAAAGTTTAGATATTTTAAAAGGCTGGATTTTGGTGGAATTTGTTTGATTCAGTTTCGATGGGAAATCGAAGCCCTTTTAATTTAACACATTTTAACGAATATTTGGCGGGCTTGAGAGGCTTTGCTTCATAGAATAAATTGACTTATGGTTTTCAATTTTAGTTACAAAAAAGCTTTTAATTTCTTAAAAAAAAAAAAAAAAAAAAGGCTAGACTAAACCAACCTCTGCCTTTGGTGTACTAGATTCAAGAGCTTGAGGCGGCGCACTTTCTTCTTATCTACAATGCTTCATTCAAACGAGTTCAATTTATTCATTGTAATCTATATTTTAATCTTCATTGTTGGCAGCTCCATTTTCAGCCATGGTAAAATGTAAGTAACCTCAAAAAAGATGGATTTTTGTGTCAGTTACCTCTTGATATTGTCTCTTGCCAATGAAAAAGCTTCTGCTTTGCCTTTTTTACAGGCTTGACGCCACCGTTTTGAATGTTGGGGAGGAGCTAAAGGAGGAAACTTTACCGTTACGAATGGGTTCTCGAGTTTACCAACTACAAGGGCTCAAGTCATTAACTTGGTATGAAGTGAAGATATCGTATCCAGCTTCTGTATGTGATTTCTTTTCTATGGTTTGCCTCTTTGTGACATTTTCATTTTCAAAAACTGATATTTGCTTTTATTGGAAGATTCCTGCAAGCTTTTCTTTGCAATTGAAGAAGGGGAATTCAGATTCTAGGTTAAACAGGAATAGAAGATTGTTGAATACAGAGAAGTTGATATTCAAGAGTGATAGTCTCGACACGATTGATGATCAGGTTTTGGTTTTGCTGCTGAAATTTTTTGATGTAATTTTTTCATACCTTGTGTGAAAATAGAAGTTTCAATTTTGCTCAGGGTGGACTGTATGTTTTGGTGACTGTGGAGCCTGAAGGTTTTGTTGCAATACCCAACACAAAGGAGAGAGAGTTCATCATCTTTAATATTGGTATGCTAACTATTTTCTTGTCTCCTAACAAGTATTTTTTTTAGAAGTGGTGATACAAAACCCTTCTATTTTGCCTTTTTCCTTCTTCAAATGAAATCTGCTCTGATTTTAGCTTGTTTGCCTATTCTGTTTGTTTTCCTTCTCTTTCAATCCCTTTGATTTATCGTTCTCATGAGAATAGCAGTTTCATACTACATGGTTTTTACAATAGCTCAGGTTTTTTTCTTTGTTCGGTATAACTGATAACTTAAAATTTTTAATTTTTCAGTTTGCGATGAACTATTTTTGGGTATCCCTTACAAAGCTTGGTGGGTTGTATTCTTTGCATTGCTGTGTTTAGGTTTGGCATTGATTATTCCTCGCTATCTTCCATCATATCTGCTAGTTGCTCAGAATGTTGCCAAGCAGTCCTGAGACTTGTCTTTAAGATACCATTTTCTCACCGTGGAGCATTTGTTAATTGTTATGTAAGGAGGTGTTTTGTAACAAAATTTTCAAAAATGTAGCTGTAGCAACTTTTGGAAATGTCAAACATTTGGCTTGATGAATGATTGTTTATGTTTTCAGACATGCGATGCTCAAATGCAACAAATCTTTTTCACCTGTTTATGTTTGTTTTTAGCTTGTAGGTTATTGATTTGTATAGTTCTTCTCCGGGCATAAATGTCCAGAGATGAAATTGGAATCTCCTCACAGGGTATAGGCTCCAACCACCATTAATCATCCTGGACTCTTGGTCCTATAACTGGTCTGGCTTTTTAAGGCCCATATTTTATGAAAGTGGGCTCGTAATTTAAGCCGAAAAAACTGTCCAATTTGTGGTTTGGGCCTTTGGAGACTCCAACCCAGATCAGCTGACGGCCCGATACCCAATAAGAAAAGAACGAATCCCTGATCTACGTGGCCAACGATCCTTAATTCCGCATTTTCACCGTTAATGATTTTGACGTGTACATCAGTATCCAAGCTTACTTAGGAGATCTTGAAGGATGGAAAGTGAAAAGCGGAAACTAACACCCTTGTTTTGGCCTCATAGAACTGAACTGTGAAACTCACTTTGTTGCTTGAGACAAACAGAAACTTATTAACAAAGAAACGAGATTTTGACCTACAAAGAGAACCCGCCAACGCAACTGTTTCAATTACAACGACCAAAAACACATGATCTACGATGCGTGCATGCATGCCAATTTGATTAAAAACACAAAACAAAGACAACACCACCGCCAACCTTAAACAACCAACAGGCTTTAACCCAAACCGTGCCCTAACTAAACATTTTAAATCAAGATCCTTGGCCTTGAGCAACCTCCTGAGCCTTGTGCTGCATGTATTGTCCATACTCCCTCGCCTTCTCCGTCATGTCTCTAGCCGTACTTGCAAGCTTATTCGTTGCATAATCCAGCTGATCCGCTCCAGTTGGGTGCTTCCCTTTCACGTAATTATATATCCACGATAACGACGTGATCGCCACCACGCCACAGCCACCCGAAACCAAGAACCCGGAAACCACCAGCAAGATGGCTATCCCAGCCGGGACCAGAACTGGACTGAACAGGACCATAAGTGGCGTGGCCATGATCAGGTCAATCACTGTCCCGGTCAAGGTTAACCCTGACAAGAAATGCAGCGTTGCACCCATGTAGCCGCAGTCAAAAAATTAGCCGCCTGGCGAGAAGATGGGGCTGACTCATAAAGCTTCTGAGTCATCGGTTTCTTTCGATCAGTCGACATGATGAACGGCCCTGATCATACAATGAAAAAAATCAACAAAAAATGGCAAAAGAGAGTGAGAAAATGAAAGGCGGGTTGCGGATCGAGGTGAGCTGAAGAGGCGACCGTCAGAGTGGCATTATAAGGAGGTGGGGAGAAGGGACACGGACGTGGGGTGGAGGTGGAGGTATGATCTCCTCCGGATGTGTGTAGAGGTGAGGGTATCTATTCTACAATCTAGAACAGTGTCAGGTAAGTGAGGTTGGGTCAGGCGCGTGTATGGTTGAGCAGCTTTGCATGGGTTCGAGTTTATGAGGATGTGACGCGTGCTTCACACTCGGTTGGCCCTGTTTAGTGACGGATCCTTTCAACTTTGTGTTCAAAAAGGCCTTTCGATGCATTCTGCCAGACGGGTAGGGTAGAGACCAGAGCTAGAAACTAGAAAGTGTTTGAGATGAATGGAATGGATATTAAGTGTGCATGACACAGCACAGGACCATCCATTTTTGGGAAGATTTTTCGATCCAAAATCTATAGAATTTTTCTGTAGTTAGCAATGGGCCTAAATTCTTTAATACTATTCAGACATAAGCTTTTTCAATTTCAGGTGGGACAAATATCTTAGCCATCTATCATTCAGGGGCCCAAGCATCTGTTCTCAACAGGTAGGATCCAGATATCCAACTGACTTACTTGGCCCATGAGTTGAAAACACATAAGCCCATTTCCATGAGACGGGACAAGCATGTGACTCTAGCCTCTTCTCTCACCAGAGAGACGCTCCTCCCCACATCTCAAAAAGGGGAAATTTTGAAAAACCGTTCCACGTGGCACACGGTACAAATTCGACCGTTGCGAGTGGGGTTCCTCCGATCCCTCCATAACTCCTCTTTTCTTTTTGTCTCTTCTCTCTTCTTCTCCCTCAAATAATAGTACTCGTCGGTCTTTTTCTCTCTCGCCCTCTCCCTTCTCCCTCTCCCTCCCAAAAAAAAACTTGTTCCCTTTTTTTTTTCTCAAAAATGGCGATCGCTGAGACCAATCCCCAACAACAAGAGATGGTAAAGATTTTCTTTTTTAATTTTGTTTTCGCTGAGACAGAGATGGTAAAAATTTTCCTTTTAATTTTGTTGTCGCTGTTTTTCTTTGGAAAATAGTAGGTTTTTTTGTCCTTTTCATCCTTCAAGAACCAAACAAAGCCTAATTTTCTGTTTCGATTTCTTTTATAAAGGAAAGAAAGTTATGAGAAATTTCTCTATATAAAAAGTTTGAATTCCCAAACAGGGTTGATTTCTAGGGTTCTGATGCCAGATTTGGGAATTCCGACAATTTTGTCTCTAGTTGTGTACCCTTTGATATCTAGGATTAGCGGATTTTGAAAAATTGGAAACGTTAATGATTTGGGTATTTTGTTTTGAGACAATGTTGGGGATTTTCGAGTATGTATTTAGTTTGTTGGTATCATTTTGACAGGTTTCTTCAGAGGCTTCAGCAGGTGAAAAGAAAAGATGGACGCTTCGCGATTTTGACATTGGAAAGCCTCTTGGACGAGGAAAATTTGGTCACGTTTATTTAGCTAGAGAAAAGAGGGTCCGTTTCTTTCCTTTTTTTTTCTTTTATTGCTCCTTTTGTTTGCTAAGAAATATGAGGAAAATTGAAGAAAGAAAAGAATTTTATTATCTGGTGAAGATAAAAATAGGCAATTTCGAATTTTGACATATTCTTATAACATCATTATCTGTAATTATAGCACCAGGCTAATCCCTATGTACTTTTGAAACAGAGTAATCATATCGTGGCACTCAAGGTTCTTTTTAAAAGCCAACTACAACAATCTCAAGTTGAACATCAGCTACGTCGTGAAGTGGAAATACAAAGCCACCTGCGCCATCCCAATATATTGAGGCTTTATGGTTATTTCTATGATCAGGTATAGTCCTATATTGATGCTTCCATGTATGCAGCTAACTGAAAATGTGCTGGATGAATTAACATGTTTTTTCTGAATACAAATTTTGCAGAAACGTGTTTATCTGATACTGGAGTATGCAGCCAAAGGTGAACTTTACAAGGAACTGCAAAAGTGTAAATACTTCAGTGAAAGACGGGCAGCTACTGTGAGTTTTTTTACAAACCGATTCTTGTGTAGTTTGTAATGTGCTTAATGAATCTATATGCATGTAGATTGACAAAAGAAAAAACAAAACTAATTGGATGTTTGGTTTGTATGCTTCTGTTGTTTGTTGCAGTATGTTGCATCTTTAGCTCGGGCACTCATTTATTGTCATGGAAAGCATGTAATACACAGAGACATCAAACCTGAGAACCTGTTAATTGGTGCACAGGTAATTCCTAATCTATGGCTGTACTTGTTATTGGGTTTATTCAATGAAAGTCTTATAGTGCTTATCTTGTCAATTGTTTTTCCTTGCCAGGGTGAACTTAAGATTGCAGATTTTGGATGGTCAGTGCACACATTTAACCGCAGGCGGACTATGTGTGGTACACTTGATTATCTCCCTCCCGAAATGGGTAAGTAGTAAACCATTAGAATGCTTCATCAGTTGTCATTTTATTACTGGTTTTGCTCGTTCGTTATCAAGCAGTTCTAGGTTCAAACTTTGCAATCGTGTCAAAAGATGCAACTTCATATGTATCTGAAACAGTAACTGTAAGACAAGACTAAATTTCACCTTATTTTTTATTTTTTTCACAGTTGAAAGCGTAGAGCATGATGCTAGTGTAGATATCTGGAGCCTTGGTGTTTTGTGCTATGAGTTTCTTTATGGAGTCCCTCCTTTTGAGGCCAAGGAACACTCTGACACTTATAGAAGGTAAGTGCGAGCTGCAAAAAAAGAGAACCTGATCAAAACGTTTGGTTACTTTGCAATTTGGGGTTTAGGAGATGCTTTTTTTTGTATTCGGGGTAGGGGTGGGGTGGGGGTTGGGGTTGTTTTGAGTCGAATCCAGACCTTACAACATGTCACGACACCTTTAGCCACTCGGCCGATATGTTGTTGGCAAATTAGGAGTTGCATTTTATGACACTGCATTTTTCAAGTACCGTTTTCAACTGATAATATGTTAGGTTATTCAACCTGTCACAGTATGATGGCGCCATATTGCTGTTTGCTTATCTTTTTACTGCTGGTATCATAAGTTTTCCACCTTACCCTGTTCACAGGATTGTACAAGTGGATCTTAAGTTCCCTCCTAAACCGATAGTTTCATCTGCAGCTAAGGACCTCATTAGTCAGGTATCTTTTGTTGCTGTTATAACTTGCAATATACATATAACAACAACGTTCCATCATGGAATATCCTGAACATTTAACTTTACTTACAGATGCTTGTTAAGGATTCTTCCCAGCGCCTGCCACTACATAAGCTTCTTGAGCACCCATGGATTGTTCAGAATGCTGACCCATCTGGCATCTATAGAGCTTAAGATACATCTATATTCTTTTTGTGAGGATGATTGTGCAAAGATGGTTTCAAATTAAAAAATTTGCTACGTCCCCAAGCTTTGTAGGAATAACAACTTGTTCCTTAAATCCATCGTAATTCATATGTATGTTAAATTACTATGATTTGTTGTTTTGGCACGTGTAACAATCCTTTTTGTGCTTTTGGTTGTTTGGAATGGAATCACGGAACTCCAAGAATTCGAAAATGACAAATAAATAGTGCCCAAAGGGAAGCTTGTTGGCCCAGGCACAGCAACAATTGCATTTATTTGAAAAGATAGTTGCTTTGCAAAATGCTGAAAACGTACCTATCTTTTCAGGTTTGGCTATGAAGGTTAAGTCTTTGGTTTTGTAACTTAGTCTGGGTTCTATTTTAGTTTGACTTGTCTCCAAGATGGCATACGAAGGTTCAAGATGAAGAATATGGTGATTTTGTTTGTTTTAGTACTTGAAACCATCTTTTTCCTCGGTCTGTTTTATGCCTTTGTTTCATGGTCCTAGAGAGGATGCCTTGTGTCATGGTCATTCGGAGGGGCCGTTCTACTTGATATATAAATGTTCACATAATCTTCAATGAGACATCTTTCGTGAACAAAACGTCCAGTAGGTTAGATGGAGAATATCTTGCAATTTAATATATTGAAACGAATCATAATATTTGACATCAAAATCAGCTTTGAGTACTACCGATATATGATAATGATCCTTGTTGGAGTGAAAAAGATACCATGATCTTAAAAAAAGCAATGAATCTATGTACTAAAATTCAACTAAATATATAAGTATTCATATTATTGTACTAGAATTCAATCAAATATTTAAGTAATCGTACTATTTTCATCTTGTGATACTTTGAAACGTTTTTTATGAGAAAAAAATCATGAAACCCACAAATAATACTTTGCAGGTTGATCCAATAGATCAAATTGAATAATATTTTACAGATTAACAGTTACAGATTCCTGGTTTCTTGCTTTTGACCCCAATTACCGGGATTCAGAAAACTCAGGTTGAACAAATTTTCATAGAACAGCTTCTCACTTGGAACAATGATACACATTTGTTATTTTCTTCTCTTACAACATAGCAAACACTGCACAAAGGAACAAGGGAGACAATGTAAGATGATCGGTACTTTCACTTCCACGGCAGTATAGATTGGCTGATCATACCTTTCCAACTAAAAGACCCACGTAACTATTAACTTCTCAATGTTAAAGCACCTCCTCCACCAAAATTTCTATCTATAAGTAACTCGTACAACAGCAGAACAAAATATTTAGGGATAGTAGAGTGTTAACTACGAGTGGTGGCAATTTGACTGACTATAAAAGACGGTAGTGAACATCACAGTACATCACACTATCTGATGCAACTTTCATGACAAACAAGGATTGTCTTCAGTCATTGACTTTCTGTCTTTACAATTTTCCCCATCCAACAAGCTGGTTGCAGGTTGTTTCTCTTTCTTGGCATCGGCAATATCTCCGGGTTTCAAGAAGCTTGGCTGGTTAGTTGAAGAGAGCAGCCTCGCCCACATCCTGTCAGTAATGACAACCTTGTTCTGTTCCTCAATGATTCGCTGCATGTTAAAATTTCAACAGAAAAATATCAGCTGTAAGCCTTTCCGTAAAATCGTGAGGAAATCATCTTTTGCTTAAATAAAACCGGCATGAAAGTAGTGCAAGTACTAGAAACATAATGGGAGACAAAATGCAGCTTTCCATCTTTCTTTTATATAAATTTGGTTTCGTTTGTTTCTGTCTCAAATAATGCCAGAATAATAAACATAAAGTGGAGTGACCACTGGTTCATGGTAATTGGTAAATGGTTTCTAATGGACACTTGAAAAATAATTTATAACGTGAAACAGTGTTCATTAATAGAGAAGTTATTAAAGGAGTCGAAGAACATACATTAAATGGAATGTAAGCATGTCTGCCATTGACAGGACCAACAGTGAAGCCTGTATACCCTGCCATTGCTCCATGAACTGTACTATGAGCGAGTAGGGTGCAATAGACGTTATCAGAAGCAATGCTAGGAATAGCCCGGATCATGTATGTAGGATCTACAAGCAAAATTTCTCAACTCAAATATTTTGCACAATATTAAAAGGTTGAATTTAGTATGAAGAACGTAAACAAATAGTGAATGAGACATTAACCTATGTATTTAAGATTAATGCGCATCTTCTTCTTTGCAAAATGTTCCTATACAAAGTGACAAAAGAGTTTAAAAAAAAAAAGTAGTCTAATCAGTAGCCATGTATCAAAAAAAAAAAAAAAGTAGAGATTAGTCAATTGAAGGTAGTACCTTTATCCTGTGAGAGATCCACAGCCCAACATCTGGAAGAAGCTTGTTTCCTGAAGCATCTTGCTGTACCATGGACTGCAAGCTCTCTGAAAGAAGATCCTGTCCTGCTCCTTCAGCTATCACAATAACCATATGTCCACTTTCTTTGAGTTGTTTTTCGATATATTCATATAGCCCACCACTTCCTTCAAGATAGAATGGTGACTCTGGAATCAAGCAACAATCAACATCACGGCTGGCAAGAGTAGCATGCATTGCAATGAAGCCTGCAGCAGCAGTTCAATATGATAAATAAAGGATCAAAAACACCAATTCCACAACAAATGAAACTAGGGAAACCTAGCAGTATTGACTATATAATTGTCAGGATTCTATCTATTACGATTATACCAACTAAGCATACCACTGTAGCGTCCCATTAGCTTTACAAGTCCAATGCCGTTCTCCATACTTTCAGCTTCAACATGAGCTGCATTAATGGCACGTTGAGCCTCCTCAACCGCAGTATCAAAACCAAATGATTTGTCAATAACCTGAACCAAATTCAGTACCCCAGCACAATGCCATCTCACGGATTAATTAACATATCATTCAAGTGGTGACAAGGACAAACTTTTTAGAGAACTACAAATATGAAGATGAGAAGTACCGGAATGTCATTGTCAATGGTTTTGGGAATTCCAGCAACAGCTACTTTGAGGCCACGACGCCTAATTTCCTGCACAGAGCAAAATCAGTTAAGCTAAAACATAAGAACAATAATTAGTTGCATTATTTAGTATTCAAATTATAGCTAAGAACAGTATTAAAAGAATTCTGACAATACTTTATAGAATTATCCTTGACCAAAGCCTTGGTTAAATTGATTGACCTCTATGCAACATTTCCTATTTGACATTTATCGAAAATACCAAATGCAATACCTCAAAAATTAATGCTGCTCCTCTTTGTGTCCCATCACCTCCAATTATATAAACCTGAACCGCTAAAGGAGACAATTAGAACCAACAAAAAGTAGTTATGTAACAGTGCAGTCATTAGAAAAAAATTAGACGCGTAAAATCAAATAAAACAGAAAGGAGGCTCAGACAAAAACCTCTGCCCTTGCACCTTAACGCACCTGATTGATTCCACGATCCTGAATTCTGTCAACAATCTTTAAGGTATCATGACCCCCTCTTGACGTCCCAAGTATTGTACCACCGCGTTTATGGATATCATCAACAACCTTGGGTGTTAAGTTGACAGTGTTCTTGGCATAAAAACCCCTGTATCCTCCCTAAGAATGTATCAAGTATAAGAGATTAACAAATGATGCTGTTCCCCATACTGATCATAAACCAAGTTATTATGGGTTATCACACCAAAATTGCTTACATCTATTCCAAGAATTTTTCTGACACCATACATGTGATAGAGGCCACATACAATTTCCCTGATCACCGTGTTTAGCCCAGGGCATAGACCACCACATGTTACAATGCATGCATGCACTTCATCTGATTCAAAATACACCTGAGAAGCAAAAATTTGCCAGTCAGTAAATTGTCCACGGCTTATCATTTCGTAACTTCAACCCAATAGCATCGAGGCAAGGTGAGAATTGTACCCTTTGGCGAGGTCCTGCACGTCTAAAATGCACCCCTCTTGGACTGTCCTTGTGAACAACAATCTATAACAAAACTAGCATATCATTTAACCATAATGATTAAGAAATTATATAGGTAAGAACTAATAGCTGTAATTGCAACACATCAAACAAACAATTTTGGATTCCATAGGTTTTAAGGCATTCTTTCTAGACCATATTTATACTACAGCCTCAAGAAGTGCATGCCTTAAAAAAAAAAAAAAAGAAGAGTATCAAATTGAAACCAAGAATTCTGTTTATATTATAAAAGGAAAGATCAGAACGTTAACTTCAAAGAATTTTCCATAAACACAAAATCCAAGCACTAAGATAAGGATTCACCTTCTTAGTGACGGTATCATCCACGTTAACAAAATATTGCCTGCGAATCGAAAAACCACGCTACTAAAATCACCATCTTGAAACAAGACCGAGATAATCAAACAACAATCCAAAACCGATGAATTAGCTGATGAAAATTTCAGGTTTAGTTTACTCACTTGACAACTGAATAAGCTGGATTATCTTGTAATGGATTGGGATAGCTCTGCCACATAAATAAACACCAATAAAACAAAATGTAAAGTACAAAAATAAAAGAGAATATACAATGAAGGAAAAATCAGTATCTTAAACTCTAAAATGGAATATATATATATATATATATATATATACATATATATCAGAATTTGAGTTCTCAACACTCCATAAAGCATTGAAATCCAAAGCTGATCAAATAACTATCAGTAGACAGAAACCTCAATCATGTGCATCTCATCTCTCTTGATCTACTGTAATTGGATCAGTTGGAAACACAAAAAATAATTAAATAACTAAAAAGAGAAGAAGAAGAGATGAGAAACTACAGGTAGATCAGGAAGGTAATCAGTCAAGTGAGGAACATCTTCGAGCACATATCCGGCAGCGCCTGAAACTAACTTCATCTGCGTATCACTCGGATTTCCCATCGCTCTCTCTCTCTCTGGAAAAACGGGAATGTTCGATTTTCTAATTTCGGAGAAAAGGTGGAGAAAAAAGTATAGAGAAAGTGTTGCTTTTATTTTTCAGAAGAAAAAACCGGAATGAGCTGGCCGCGGGTTACAATGCGAACGCATAGGGGGGTTGTATGTTGAGAGAATATTTGGATTATGGACGCCAGAGAGCATTTAAGATCGACTGCGTCAAAACTGAAGCGGCGTCGTTTGAACTTGGATCCTTGGTTCTTTTGAGCATAAACAGTTGGCGCCGCGTACATTGTATTCCGCTACCACTGACTCAAGCTTACGAATTATCTTCATCTTTATCTTTATCTTTACATTTTATTGATTTCTGTGGTTTTTTTGCTAGTTTTGATCATTACTAACGATCCTGCCACGTCAGATTACCTGTTAAATTTATTTTCTTTTAATTATTTCGTGCACTTGCTGACGTATATAATTTGCTAATACGGTTAGTATTATGTATATAATTTAATTTTTTTTATGCACTTCAAATTATTTGAATCTCAAATAAAAAATTTAACATTTTATCAATAATTTATATAACTATTGATATATCTTTAAATTTTACTTATTAATTATCTCTTCAAATAATTTTAAAAATTTATATTTTACATTAATATGATATATTCAAGCTTCGATTTTCGAAACTTTCATAAAAATCATTTTTCATTAACAAAAATGTAAACTCTTCCCTTACCAACTAAATTATCTCGTGTAGATAAACGTGTATCAAACTTTAAGGTCTTCTTTTGTTTCAAAGGGTGAATATTAATTTAATACCGGTAAAAAGAGTTTAGCAGTAGTATTCCGCTTGGTACATAATAGAAGAGGTAGAATTTTAGCATTCATGGCCCATGACACGTCGGCATTAAGAGAATCTAGAGTATGAGTTGGCACCGCCTTATTGGACCCATTGGTTGTCTCCTTCAATTTTCTATACGCCACATCGGTAGCCCGTTAAGACGGCGGCTGTGAGTCTTTTCCTCCGAGCAAAACCTCTAACGCCGTCGTTTGAATTAAAATAAAGATCAATAACATCGTCCTATCTCGAATTTCAAATGACAGACAACTAATCACACGAAAAGCTGAAAGATGGCGCCCTTCCATGAATTGACAACGAAACTTGATTTGTTTGTGACAAACGTTGGAAACCCTGCTGTCAACTTATGTCTCACGCGCCATACACCTGACTCTCCCGTTTCTTGAAGCCCCTTCTCCTTCCTAAGAAATAGTAGCGAAAAGGCGGTGAGAGTTTTGGCCTTTGGGAGAAAAGATTGTTGAATCAGAGCTTTAATTTGATAAAATGTCGTCTCCAGCAGAGTAAGTTTTTGCTTCTTTTTTCAATTTTCATTTCTTTGCTACGTTTATGTTACAATTTCATAATATTTGGAACCTTTGTCATATTTGTTACTATTTCCTGCATGAATTCTCAGAATTTCTCGCTCACGGATTTACATATTAAATTATTTTTAATATTTATTTTTTTGTCTTGCTTAATCGCAATTTTTTTGGTAATCTTGTGTTTGGTTGCCTAGAAAATCTGAAGAGGAGAATAAGATAGTAGTTGTTAATATAAATTTGTCTATTCTCCTTCTCTCTCTCTTTCTCAAAGGTTTTTGTTCATCGCTTATCTTGCATTTTTTTCTGAGATTTTTAGTTCCTTGTTTTCCACATATTATTTGGCATCCAAATAGAGTTCAAAAGTCAAGTTTTAACGGTAAACAATTGAATTCGCTAGCCAATAGCCATGCAACTGTACTTTCTGTTTTTCTTTTTTTTTTTTTCAACTAAACCAATCATTCTTGCAAAATTTTTTCCTTTAAAGATCCTCTAATTGTTTATTGTTTAACAGACTCTACAAATCTCTGCCACCGATCACCAAAGCTAATGGGACTCGACTGCAGCTTTCCATTCGGCTCTATATCGACTTGAACATATATCCATGAATTAGTATTTTCAGACTTTCAGGTACTGACTTACCTCGGATGTACCTGTACAAGTGAAATCTAATGAAGCACGTTTACGATGATATTATGACAAGTCTTGGGCACTTCTGTTCCAATTTATTGAACGCTTGTTATTTATTATGTGTTACATAGCTACTTTTTGTTAATAAGTAAACTTAAACTGTTGCCCTTTCCATTTCGATACTTTTTTTTTTTTTTGGGGTTATTGGGTCTTTTCTTTTGGGTGTGGAGAGTTATTACTAATTTCTTTTTCCTCGGGAACTTCTCTGTAAATTTTGGATTTCGTCTCCTCATGATGTAAGTATTTAGATTAGAAGCTTGTCAGGATTAATATCCTGAATGTTGTTAACGTATTAGTATGCGTGACAGCATATTTGTTTTTGCCATTTCTATTTTCTTGTTATTACAGAGCTAGATATGGGGTTCAGCTGGAGAAGGGGCAATTTGAAAGGCAGACAGTAAATTTTCTCTGGATGATGATTTTTGGAGCTCTTTCATTGCTGGTGTGTGTTGGACGTACAACTTTTGCAGTTCATCTTCTACATGGTCTCTTAAGAAGTTAAAACTTCTTATAGTTTGGTGAATGAGTTTATAGATTTCACTGTTAGAGTATCTCTTATGTGGAATATATCATTATTAGCTTCTTCTTTCTGTGCGTTTAGGCATTATCAGCCATTCCTCTGTTATAGAGTGCATTTCTTGGGGTTTCACTGGTATTCACACTTCTATGCGTGTGGAGTAGGGAGTTTCCTAACACTTAACTCAATATATACGACTTGTTGCACTCAAGGTACACATAGGTACATTTCTTTGTATGATTGTGCTTGAATTATGGCATAGTCTTATTGCTTATTGTTACTTGTCTGGGTCTGCTAGTGCTAATGCTTATACGTTACTACTAGAACACAAGCCTTTTATCTACCGTGTGCATTGCTTGCTTGGGATGGTATTTTTGGTTCCCTTCTTGTTTCAAACCTTATGGGGATCATTGTTTCAAACCTTATGGGGATCATTGCCAGGCATATATACTACTTCTTGACAGTGCTGCATCCTCTTGCTGGGGGAATAAACGTTTTATCAACTCCAACATGGCTGTATCCTTTTGTGTTTTTGTTCACAATGTTTTAGTTTCTTCCTCTAAATAACATAAGAGGTGGAAGTATTCCCTCATAATTTCACATCTAATAGTTTTTAATTCTACTTGAGGGTAATAGCAGAAGTGACTTTAGAGGTCATAATTCCTTCTTTCAACTGAAAATAGTTATATAGATAATCAGTAATTTGTGAGTCTCCTTAAGTGTTTGCTTGCTAGTTGCTATCCTGAATCCTGATGACTATGCTAATTGTCTATGAGGTCCATGAATGACTTCTTTAGCTTTTATGTAGAATCATAACAATTATTTTCTTCCAGAAGGCATTTTGGGATTGATGCTAATTTCAAATGGGCATCATGCCACAATTGCAGAACACTCCTATACTGTTGTGGACTTATATTAGTCTTTTAAAAATTACTGTTACATTTTGACATTATGTCGCACTCTTCTTAAGTAAGTTTACAGATTCATGCTAAATTCAATGTCATGATATAGTTTTTTGAATTGAATTTGTATGTTGTAAGATTTTCTAATTTTTCTTTCCTGAAGTTTGTAGTTATTAGAGCTGTTTTTTGCAGTAGGACTACGATGTTCCTGAATCTACATACAATCAAACTCCTCGACTCACACAATATAGGCATAAACTTGTTGCACGTGGAAGACTGGGATATCCAACAAATGTCCATGTCCAACAAGATAGGGCAGCTGGTGTGACATTTAGAGGGAGGACTTATCGGTTGAATTCATCATCCTCTGGTCAAGGCTCTTCTTTCAGAAGACTCTGGTCATCTTTAAGAATCTACCTATAGAAGCTACAAACATTTAGCAATTATACAGATCTATTTAGATGGTATTTCAGGTTTTGTATAGCATGTTTTGTCAAAAGGGTTAGATCTTGGGGGAAAATGTCAAATCTTATTTGATTATGTTTACATAATAATCATGAATATTTCCTATTTGTAAAAATTACTAAAAATAATCATAAGCCTCTGACTGATGGTCATATTGTATTCCAAACTCAAATTGGATAATATGATTTTGGAGAATTTGAACTTGGGTGAAAAAAAACTCCCTCTTTGAAGTGAGGTACATAGTGATTTGGCTGAGTAGAATCGTTTTTTCCTTGACCTCTGTTCCTGTTGATTTCTCTTACAGAGTAACATTGTCAATCATCATCAGTGATAAGAGTTCTGCTCTACTGGATTGGGCAACGGCTACAAAATAGATGCGGGCCTGGGGTTTGTATTCTTTTCATATTTCTTGGACTGAGCCCAAAACTAAAGTTTTATGCATCTGTCCACAGTCCATTAATTATTTTCTAGTTTTCTTAAACTTGACCAAGAGAAAAGAAAAAAAAAAAAGTTTCCATACACTTGAGAACGTGCTCTTCTTTGCTAATCATTAGGCCTTCTCCAAAGTAGATCAATCGTCTAGATTTCTTCCGATGTCGAAAACAGTGAAACCTGTGTTGCCGCGACCACATGTTCACCATTACTATTTACAGTTTTTTCTCTTGAGGGTGCACGAGATTTCTTCAATGCCAGATGACGTGAACTGAGATTGCTTGTGAACCCAACAAAGTGCCAGACATGAATGGATGAGATGAGTCCCATTATTTTCTAGGTCCACCTAACTCTTTTATATTATTCTCTTCATCTAGATTTCTTTACTTAATAATTTTTTTAATAAATACCAAATATTAATATTGAAATATCCCGTGTTATTACATTAAGATTTTTTTTAGCCAGCTATTTCATTAAGATTAAGACTAAAAAATTCAAATTTATAAAAAAATCAAATAGTGCATATAATAATTAATGTAAATTAAAAGCTATAAAATTAAAAAGGGCACCGTCGGACCGACCCCTAATAGAAAAAGTGGTGGTCCCCACAATGACAGCACACCCAATATTCAGTCCACGTTGGACCATGCCCCAGAGCAGCTTAGTTTTCACGCAACCTGCCTGCCTGCCTGCCTGCCTGCCGCCTCCTTCTCCTATATCTCCTCTTCTTCTGCCTTGTTTCTTCTTGTCTTAAAAATCCCTAGAGAGAAAACCGTCATCATCGGTTAAAAGCAAGAGTTAGCAAAAAAGCAGAAGCTAACCAAATCAAGCAAATATGTCTTGGCAACAGTACGTGGACGAGCACTTGATGTGCGATGTTGATGGCCAAGGCAGTCATCTCACCGCCGCTGCTATAATCGGCCAAGACGGCAGTGTTTGGGCCCAGAGCTCTACCTTCCCTGCGGTTCTTTCTTCTTTCTCTTCTCTTTTCTTTTCCATTCACTTGTTCTTTGTTTGGATTATGAGTGTGATGGTTTTCTTCTGATCAATAATTTTTAGTTGTCAAAATTGAAATGATTGGGTTTTAATTTGAAATTATCATTAAATTAGACAAGGGTTCTTAAATTCCTGTGTTTCAAATGGGATAAGGGATGTTTTCTTTTGGAGATGGCAGTAGCATGAGTTGTTGCATGTAGTGTAGGCTGTAACTATGAACCCTGATTGCCAACGATAGAGCTAGTATCAAAACTTACTTTCTAATTAATCTGCTACATCAATGCATTCATGCTTCTGGGCGGCTTATGGTAGTGTGATTTGCAAACCTATTCACTTTCCATATCATGCACTCTTAACCACCATGTTTGGTCTGAACTATGAAACAAAATTCTATTGGGTAAAAAAAAGTCATGACTTTGCAGCTCCTTATTGGAAAAAATGTGATTGATCTCATGCTTTTGTGTTTTCTCCTGAAATGTGTGTACAAAAAACTCTTCTTTGTTTGGAAAGTCAAAATGTGGTTTGAACTTTGAACTAGAGCAGATTTTGACGTGCAGGAGCACAAGCATGCTCCTTTCAACTTTATCATTTGTAAAGGGCATCACAAATCAATAGCACGCTTGGTGTTTGTTGTCTTCAATTTGTCTTCTGGTTGCACCTAACAGTTGGCTCTTCTGTTTGTGGAATCCAATGCTATGTGGAATCTTAACTGTTTCTATGTACTTGGCGTTGCAGTTTACCCCTGAAGAAATAACTGCGATCATGAATGATTTTGCTGAACCTGGTTCTCTTGCACCAACTGGCTTATTCATTGGTGGTGTAAAATACATGGTGATCCAGGGTGAACCAGGGGCTGTGATAAGAGGAAAGAAGGTAATAGAATATATCCTGGTGCATCATGACTGATCATGTTGTTGTTAGCCATAAAAATTATTTGCAATGGTAATCTGGTTTCCTTTGTAAGACGGGAAACAACTTAATTACTGGAAACTCCATTGTGGTGCTACATGTTCATTGGTTTCTTCATATCAAAACCTGATTGTTGTGCTATAGTGCTTTGAAATTGTTTAGTTGTACGGTCTTTTTAAAGTTTCCCTCAACTCTCAACTTAATTATGTATAATTCAGGGTGCTGGTGGTACTACTGTTAAGAAGACGAACCAAGCCTTGATCATTGGTATATATGATGAGCCTCTGACACCTGGTCAGTGCAACATGATTGTGGAAAGGCTGGGTGATTACCTAATTGATCAGGCTCTTTAGTTGCATAGGTACGTTGCTTCCCTTTTGTTCCATTCCCTCTCTCTATTTTCTAGGAAATTGTTCTGGCATCTATATTTGTATCTAACATGTTCAGGGTTGTACGTGGGCGGTTGATATCATTTACGATGGAGAGCCAGGTGTGAAGATAAAGTGCTTGGTGCTTGAAGAGTGAATATTTATATTGCTTTCCCTATATTGTATGAAATCTTATTGTTCTTTTTTTCCTCCAAACATTTTGCGGGAATGTGTTATTTTATAGTGGAAATTTTATTTCTAAGGGATTGTTGACTTGGTCTGATGATTTTTCTTATCCTTATGCTTATTGATGTTAAATTGCAAGTGTCATCCAAAAGCTATCTCCGTTGTAGTTGAATTCATAATGCCAATTACAAGCAACCAATTTCTTTTTTTTTTTTGGTTCAGGCCCTAGTAGATGCATATTGGTATAGTTTTGCTGTTAGTCTTGAAAACCATAAAAAATTTATTTTCCTCTTCATTTCTTGGGTAAGTAAACCTTGTTAAGTGACTGATCAAAGGCTAGCTACTTCTCAGGATATCCTGAAACACCCGCTAAAACAGCGGCAAGAATTCCATTAGTTTGATTCGGCTTTCGGTGGGCGGTAATCTTGCCCGTGCCAACTTTTTATTGTAGTGGCCTTAAAGAAGCTTGGAAGGAACCAAGTCTGTCAGAGTTGGCATTCAGTCAAAGATTTAACGTCATTATCTGTAATTTTCAACTATGAATTCCAATTTGTAATTTTCAACTACGATTTTTTTCAAAGGATAAAAATACTTAAATTATAATTTAATAATCATTTAATTTTTAATATTTTATTCGGGTCAATGTTGTAATTAATTAATTCTTTTATTTTTTAATTTAACTGAATTAAATTTTTAAATAATAAAATTTAATTATGTGATAAATTTTAATTAATTAATTTTTAAATTGCAGTCAATTGAATTTTTAAATTTAGAGGATTTTGAAAATAAAGGATAGAGAAAATAATATATATATATTTTTAATTATTTATCTATTAGTTATGCTATATGATAAATTTTATTTATTTTATGAATTTTACGTGAAATTTTATTTAATTATAAATAATTTTATAAATTTTATATAGTTTTAAATTATAATATAATTAATTAATTGGATTAAAATTATGCTTGGTACGTTGTGATAGATGATTTGGCCTCGTCGAGGGCAGCATGCCAATCAAATCACGCCTCTAACCTTCTGCTCTTTTAAAAGGTGTTCTTCAATTACTCTCAATTCTTCACCAAACCCTACAGAAAGGGGAAAAAAAGCTCTCTTTTGTTGCTGGAAGCTGTAGTGAAGAAAATGGGAATTCAATCAGAAAGGAGGGATGTTTGGTTACAGAGAAGAAGAGATTCCTTCCTAATTCCTTCTCCTGCTGAAGACGAGAAGAAATTGAGGGCCGAGCGATTCTCTAAAGGTTGGTTTTTATCTTTCATTTCCTTAATTTTGCAGCTGTAAAATCTTTGGAAAAAAATAAATTAAAGAAGACAAATTTTAAGCTACATCACATTTGAAATTTCTCATAATTTAACCTGATATTCATGCAATGATCAAGACACAATCACATAAAATTCTTCAAAGATTTGTTTTTTCGTCAGACGCAATTGTTAATATCTAATAAAAAAAACTTTCGTTTTGTTTAATCCGCAGAGGGAATTCGTACCGGTGTGAAGGCTGCTGCGATTACGGCCGTTGTCAGCGCTGTGCCCACAGTACATTAACGTTAACCTTGCTCTTATTGATTTTGTTTTCTAAATAAATGAAATCAATTGAGCCACATTTATAAATCATTTTGTATTACAAATATCTTGTCATGGTTCCTTTCTAAGAATTTTCAGTTTAGGACGATTTTTTGTTTTTCCTCCGGAAAATAAAAGAATGGGTTTGGTCGATGCTTCTATTTTCCTGCAAATCCTATCATACTATTGAATAATGGGGTCTGGGGTTATGGGCTTAAACAAATTTCATTGCATGCTGAGATAATAGTTACAAATTGCTAATTTTTTGAACCATAGGGTTAATTCAGGTTCGTCATTTTATCTTTACTGAATTAGAGATCCAGCAAATGTTTAGAAGTTTTAATTCTTTGACTTTCTATTGTTTGGATTTAACATATTGCTGGTTATCTGTTGTTACAAATAGTTATGGCTTGAGTACTAAATGACTTTAGATTAAGATTATCATTTTTGACCATCTAGTTTCAGTGCATCGGAGCTTGAAACTCAATTAACCGATTGCCTGCATAAATAGCAGAGAATGTAATGGTGTTACCAAAACTATTCTTACAGTTTCATGATCTACAATCTACATCAGTAAGGCTTTGCTTAGTAGGAAGGACGGACAGAGGGGAGGATGAAAAAAGTTGTTAATCTAATAGTTAAAATTCATAGCCATTTTTCTGCTTTGTAGCTTAATTGTTAAAGTTCTCCGTCCTCACTCCTTTCCATCTTTTTTACCAAGCAAAGCCTAAAGGTCTGTGCTCGGTTCTTTTCCATACATGGATAGCTTAATGATGGCTTTCTACTTGTCCCTCCTTTTTCAGTTGATTGCCGTTCGTAAGATTCCTTGGGCGAAGGCAAACCTCAATCATACTGCTCAAGCTCTTATCATCAGCGGAGGTATTCTCAAATCTATACTGTATGATTTATTTGTCCTAACTTGTGAATTTTTTTATTTCTAAACAGCATCATATTAATAGGCGATACCAGTGATGACATAGAAATAGGAGGGAAATGGGAATAGCTTCTATTATGATTGATTATACTTCTTTTGTCACATTATAATGTGGCTATATTTATTGGTTAACAGCATCAATTGCCGCTTACTTCGTTACTGTTGATAAAACCGTGTTGGGAAGTGCTAGGAAAATCTCTCGAGCCCAGTTTGACAAAACTGCTTGAATGCCAGACCCGAAGGTAGTGCAAAGGTTCTGGGGGCAACTATGATATATGTTACAGTTTAGTTTAATGCTGTTGTATGGCACATAAACATAATAAAAGTTTTTCTGAGTTTTATCTTCAATTGACTGATTTCTCTTCTGGAATTTAAGCTGTTTAAATGTAGGGTAAACTTCATAAATATTCCTTGTGGTTTAGTTCGAGATTTAAAATGTGATATTTAATCATATTGAGCATTACTTCCATTAGTTCAAAACTAACACCAAATCTAACACCGATACTTAAATTTGTTTTTCTCTTTCATTTATTTTTTTTTTATTTTTCTTTCTTCTTCCATGCATTTTCCAGCAACTCAAACTCTCTTTCACCAATTTATTATTTCTTCTTCGACATCCAAAGTCCTATAGCCATTTCCTTCTTTAGCATTTTCCTCCTTCACTTCTCTCTTATTATTATTATTTTTTCTCCGGCCACATCTCCTTTCGCTACAATTTTGCTGCCATGGTTGAAGGGGTGTTGACTTCTCCCTTTTTCTTATTATTTTTCCCAAATCACCCTTGTCTCTCTCTGAGCTTACTCAAATTATCATTAATTTCTCTTTTCTTTTGCGCGATTGTCAAGTTAACAAACTCAAATAAGAAATATGAAACCCAGAACAAAGCAAAGCTTTCAGTCTATTAGATAAGTACCACAAGTCCGTACATAGATTCAAGAGGCCAAAGCTAAAAGGAAAATGGAGCTAAGTTCACAAATTTTTTGACTGGGAATCCATAAACAAATAGAACATTTTGAGTTAGAGCGAAGGCCTCATCAATCTTGTTAATAATTTTAGATTTATATAACTTTATTTTGGATTTTTATGAGATTATGTCTAAATTTCAAATAAGAATTTTTACTGTGAATATTTGGTAATTTTTGTGTTAGATGAGAATGAGAATTTAATTGATAAAGATTAACTTTCAATGCAAAGCTTTATAAATTTACTCAAATGCAAGGGGATATAAGTGAATTTTGGATTGGAGCGAAACTGATGTTATTGGATTAAAAAACATCAAAAGAAAAAAAAACGGGGAAGAAGAACAAGCCAGCATTTCGTGCTAATAGCTAACAGCATTTAAGATCTTAAGGTCTTATATCAAAATTACCTCACAGCGAATTTTAAAGGGTAGATTTATTTTTGCCCTTAATCACACGATATATTTGCAAAGTTTGCCTTTATTAAATGTATTTAAATGATATTTTCTCCTTGTGTTTATAGGCATGAGGTATAGCCAACTCATGTGTCCTTTAACATAGAAATCGTGTAGCTTCCATTATTTCCTTATACAAAAGAAACAAGAACTTCAAATAATCGGGATTGCTTATCCAAAATTGTGAAAAGAATAGGCAAAGAGGGCAAATTCACGCCTAGTTACGTCACGTCGACCTAATTGTTCCTTATGAAGAGCAAAAATAAGTGCAAAAAATTGCAGGTTGCAACCAATCAGGCTATTGCTTTTTTTCTAGTGTGAAGTTGGTCTTCAGAATGCATACCGGTAGATAGCATCAGCTACACCATCTTCATCATTGCTAGCACCAATTACATCAGCCACAGCTTTTGTTTTCTCCGATCCATTACTGAGAGCAACGCCTAGAGATGCTAACTCAAGCATTTCCACGTCATTTTCCCCGTCACCAATGGCCATTATCTAGGGCCAAACAGAAAAGAAAAACATGGTTAGAATTAGTATTTGGTAAGGTCAATATAGGTATGCCTTTACTTTCAAGCTTATAAACGCATATTTCAGTCAGGTTATTATCATGATAATTCAACTTCTATCTTGGTAAAAGGGTAAATGAATAACATAGCAGCTAGTTTTACAGTCATCTAAGCATGAATGCTGCATTTGCCGTGTGAATATGCATCATCAACTATAGGACCGCTAGTTTCACTTTATAAAAGCAAATTAGGTGGATGTAAATGCAAAACTTAGAAAAGAATATAGAAGATGCTAGGTAGTAGATAAGAGAACATGTTGTCCGTACCTCCTTTGCATTGACGCCCAAATGATCAAGTAGCATTTTTACTCCACTTCCCTTTGAAGTCCCAAAGGGAACGATTTCAAGCATGTCTGGTACAGCTTGAATAACAGTAGCACGATCTCTTGTTGTTTCTGACCAGTATGGACGTAAATTAGTTGCTATTCCCTCAGCAGTGTTGAAAAAGATCAACTTCTGCAAATCCAGAAGATGTGATTAATGATAAGGACCATATTCAACAAAATCCATGATACCTATGGGATAGGATTCTATAATGGAAACTGAGCGAAATTGATCACAAGTCATTAATGGCATTTAAACATAGAATCTTTAAGCACCTTACACTTTTCTTCCTCGAAAAGTAGTTTTATGTCGACAGAAATATCATATACATGGATCTATATTAGAATGGCAGAAGCTATTGGCAATGACTGCCACTGTTTCTGATAGTTTTTAGGATTTAATGTAGAATTAAAAGTCAGAGAAGGGAAATGCATTTTGGTAAGAGGAATGCAACTATTAGTTACTCATGCCAGGACTTCTCAAAGCATATTGAAGATTGTGGTCATTGAACAAATACCCAGATTCACTCAAAATCAATAATAAATAAAACATTCACACAACAAATGTTGAGTTCGTGCAGACAAAATGGTCCTATTAGCTTCTATCTATGGTTTAAGCATGAACAAGAGACTAAATCTCTGCCTGTACCTGTACGTCAGCAGCAGCTACCAGATGCTCAACTGATGGCATGATCTCTGCCTGTAGAAATATTTTTATCATACACATATCAGAAAAAATTCATTGGTCAACAAACAAAATGTATCAATTCAAGGAAAAAGCAAATGAAAGTATACAGCACCTTTGGCTCATGATATACAGTATGCAGTGTGTCAACAAGAGGGTGATCAAATAGGGTTAAACAGCGATCCTCACAAAATGCAATGAGAGGAACCTTATGCTCCAAAGAGTAGTGGCCTGCCTGCAAAATTTAAGAACATTTGAATTGTGATATAAAACAACAGATTTATTTTTAAAGGATCTTACATAGCTATTCCTAATCAGGGCATTAAGCATCTAGTATCTTTGATTCCTTTTCTTTTGGGCAAGGGATTGTTAAAAATCATTCACCCGGTCCACTTTATGTCTGACACAAAACAGACCACCCAAAATTGTCTCTAATCATCCCTAGGAAGACTAGTACTTAGAGATCACTAGATGAATAATGGCCAATGGATCCTTTTCTATTGTGGGACAGGAGAGAGGAGTGAGAATATTACTAAATGAAGTCCTATAGAAACAGTAACGAGAATAAATTGCAGCCCAGGCAAAAAAACTGTCAAATTAAAATGAAATCAGACTTCAGATGAGAGTATAAGAACATGATATTTTCATGATAAGGAACATGGCAGAATTAGCAATTTCAGTAAAGTAATGAAATTGTAGCTAAAACTGTGGTCCTCCAGAGAAGTTTTGGGTGGCTAAAATCAGTGCAGTTACTAGTAACTAACACACTTAGCCTAAACAAACTACAATCTGTTCAAACAAAATACAGTTCATATAACATTATAATGTGAGACAGTTTCTCCCAACAAATGTTTGGACAAATGGACCTAGCAACATCCTACTACTCTCAAAAGACAGTGAAAACATGCAAACTGCAGAAAAATGTCCAATGCTCGCAAGTAATCCTTTTAACAGGAAAAGAAACCACAATCCCAAGTCCATAAATCAATAGCATCAGAGAAAGTTGAAACTCCAAAGTCTTACAATAAGAATTATTAGATGTTCAAGAAAAAGAGGCATACCTCTCTGCAAACATTTGGATCCAAATTCCTTTTAAAAATTTCTCGACCATTTATACCATAAACAAGCAATCCCTGCAAGCAAGAAGAAAGAAATTGAATCAACATTAAGGTAATAAAATAAACTGCCATAGGTTTTCAAGCATAAGAAAGTGTGCAGAATCAAATTTTGCATTGTGCTGTAATTGGGTTTGCTGAGGGTGTGCTAGATAAATTCTAGTCATGGGTTAAATATGTGAACTAGTAGAAGTTTACCAATCAAGATTTGTGGTAAATTATTCATAAGTCATTCCATGGTTTGTCTGAGATTATATAAAGGGCAGCCCAGTATGTAAAGTTCCCACTATGTGTGGGTCTGGGGATAGGTTGGACCCACTGGGTCTAATGTATGCAGCCTTACCTTGCATTTTAACAAGAGGAATCGTCTATGAAAGGAGAATATATTCATTGAGAAAGTAAAAGGAAACCAAAAAAGAAAGAAAAACATCAGAAAGAGCTAGAGGACTGTGTGCATCCAACAATGTCCTTTAAGAAGTGGTTTCCCTCCAACTTTTAAGCTGAGCATCTGTAGTCTTAGAAATAGATCAAATAAGAGTTTTCATGTCATTATTTAGTTGAAACAGATGCAAGATGATCACTGCAGCAAGGACAAAGGAAAAAGAAGAACCTGTAAGAAAACCCCAGGAGAGTACTCTGAAATGATGCCATCTTTGCCAGCTAAATCAACCATCTGCAGAACACTTATTGCAGAAGGACGCGCCTGAAAAGTACCAAACGAGGAACTTGTAATCAATATCTTCACTAGCAAGCAAATAGCCAGATGGAAGAGAAAGAAATAAAGAAGTTATGTGACAACTTAGAAATCAAAAGAATGCTAACTGTAAAATCAAGGTAAAAAGTATAGAGACATGCACACATGCATACATCCATACTTACATAAATACATACATACAAACATTTTAGCTTGCCAAATAAAGACATGTTACAATGGTGAACAACATTCCGATAGTCAATGAATTTGAATGGAGAACAACGGTTCCCTCTGTTCTTACTTTTCCTGTGGCTATCACAATTTTTACACCTCTTGATGATGCCTCTTTCAAAGCTCTTGCATTAGTCAATGAAACCTGACTTTTGCTGTTAAGCAGTGTACCTAGCATTAAAGATACAAAAGCTTTAGATATGGTACTGAAATTAATAAGCACTGGAATAACAGTGAGAACAATAAGCTCACCATCCATATCACAGAAGATGTACTTGAACTTTGGTTTGTAGAATTGAAGACTGCCTTCTTTCTTCCTGTCTTTTGACATATTATCTGTAAGATTATCTCACTTAAAATTATATGTTGTTATTTATTGTTTAGCTTCAAAATCACTAAAGAACATGTACATATAAAAAGAATATATGCCTCACAGGGTAAGAAAGAATACCTAAAAAAGATCCAACTACTAGTAAACAGACAAAAGAGGATGATACCATTCAAATTTTCCATATGAAGATTTACATTTGTTTCAGCATCATATGCACTCTGTATTAATCCCTTTCCCTTCCATCCAAGACTCTTCAAAAGAAATTCCTCCTCCCTCTCCATTTCTTCTTCAGCATCTTCGCTGATCTCATGATCAAAACCCAACAGATGCAGCAACCCGTGAACCTTCAAAGTTGATAAAAAAATCTAAGTTGGAGTCACTATAACATAATGTTTTCTGGCATTGATACTAGTTTCTTTAGAAGCTGAATAAAGTAGAAAGACTGCTTTAATCAGTCCATTCGTTCCTTTAGGTTTTTTTTCATCCTTTTTGTGAAATTCAAACCTGGATATCAGTTCTACCTCAAACACTTTGTTCTTCAACCCACAAATTTGCCGTTCAGGCATTTCACAAAAACAGGTCAATCTACAAATTTGCTTTTAGATAGTGTGTTGTGTGTTGTCTTCTAAAGAACTTTTATTTGTTGAAATTTCGTTCTTACCATTATTAGATGAGGTCTTACATAGTTAAATTATCAACAAAAGTCTGTCTAATACAATTGATCTGCCCTTTTTTTTTCTATAGATTAAATATCATGACTCTCAAGTCTCAAGCAAATAAATGGAGAAAGTTCAAATTACTTAACAAACCATAAGGATGCGTATTTCATCAATAAGTGTGTGCCCTCTTTCTTCTGCTTGCCTTGCAGCAGTCTTAACAGAAATAACAATATCACCCAACATAAGCTGCAAAGCAAGAAAGACGTGTCAATTGGTAGTTAAGGAAAACATTTCAGTCAACAATTGTACTACTTACAATAGGCAGCTTAAGTTCAGGAACATGTTCCGACATGGAAAGGACATCGGTGGCATGGTCTTCATCCCTCCATTCTTTATTTAGTTTTCGAATGAACTCATCGTCGCAAAGGAGTACAGACAACTCTACGCTGTTGAAACCACCTAAATCTTGTATAACAGTGTCTCTTGTTTTGTAATTTGAATCTTTTAAACGGTTAAAAGCTAACGTCATTGCCACTGGCACATTAAGACGAAGTAACTCCGCAATACTCTGCAAAATGTGCGCAGTAGTAAAACAAAAAGGATAATTGGAATTGCCTGTGAATCTTCTTTTCTTTCATTTTCTCGATAAACTAACAGAAAATTCGTTAATGCATTCTCAGGAGACCTAACAATAAAATAAAGTACAAAAACGGCTACGTAGTAATCGTTTCTTTCATTTTCTCGATAATCAAACAGAAAACTAGTTAATAATATAGCATTATTTGAAAGGTAATGTAAGATACAGATATTATACCAAAATTTCGGGATCTTCAGGTAACTCTTCTTCAATACAAATACTAACACTGAGCTCCAACTGCTTCTCTTGAGTCTTCGTTGGTCGTCTTTTCACCTTCCGATACTCTCTGTTCGAAGCCGAAAGGATTCGCGATTGCCTCGATAGTCTCCTCCCATCTTCTTGGATGAGGGCGTGAAATCTCCTACCGAAGAGGGAAGATTTGGATAAGGAAGGGACATCGAAACGAGCCGTGTAGCGAATGGAAGATGGATTGGATGAAGCGCGGGAAAAGGAGAAGGGGACTAGGGAGCTCTCGAGAGAAATTGGTGGTGGCGCGTGAAATAGCAGACGCCATTGAGGAGGAGGAAGGAGGAGGGTGCAGAAAACGGAGGAGAAAGGAGAGGCGAGGGAGCATATAGACTCTTGTTTCTCCTGTTGGCTAATGATACGAGGTTGTCGAGATATCAAACGAAATATCTAAAAGAAATTAAGGTTTGGTTTGGATTTTACTGAATTTTGGGTACAACGTGATTAAATTTATTATGTCAGAATTTAAATATTAATCAAAACTATTTAAAATAATTTTTTTATTAAAATATTTTTTAATAATAATAATTATTATTTTTAATATAAATATAATATTTATTATTATTTTTTTAATCTTAATAAAATTAATCTTCTCGTCAACCTAAATAAATCTAAATTTACATAAATTTATTGGAAGCCTTTGTTTAGGTTCGTTTAATCCCAAAATAAGTGACCTTTGACTGTCGAATTGATTATTTGATTCTAAACATGTGCGATCTTGATGTGCGTTATTCAATTTTTTTTATTTGAAATATTAGCTGTATTATATAAAATAAAACTACAAAGAAACAACAAATTTTTTTATTGGAACTAGTAATATGCCCTTCCTTTGGGTCCGATTAGTATTTTATATTATTATAATGATATATGATAATCGTACGTCTAAGATTTTGTTTGATAAAAAAAATAAAATTTGTTAATATGATAATTAAATTTTATAATTATTTTTTTTATAATTTAATTATTGAATTAATAAAATTTTCATATTCATATCTTTTTATTATTTCTATTAAGTTTTAAAGTACTTATGTGCCATGAAATACATTAGTAAATGAATAGAGTTTCGTAGATTCAATTTCTTGATATAACAACATGTTAAAATTGTATAGACAAAAAATATGTAATAAAAAATTTGGGATCAAATCTACAATTCTAACATTCAATCAACAACAAATTTTTCATAATTTCAAAATTTTAAAAATTTATATAAATATCCTTTCAAAAATAATGCAGAATTAAACAAAAAAGAAAATTTTCAAATCTAATAAAATACTTAAAGCAATTAGTTTGAAATAGTAATATAGCCCAGAATATTCAAGCCATCATCTCTTTTTCATCGTAAATAAATGAAGAAATTTATGTTTTTTCTCCATCGCCGTCGTCGTTCATTGTCGGCGAAGATGTCTAACTCGAATCAGCTATAATTGATCCCGTCTTTCCTTTTTTTTTTTTTTTTTTATATATATAAATATCCGTTACTTTGCAGCCGTCGTCGTCCCTATCCTTTTCTCTCTTTCTTCTTCATTCATTTTATCCCCTTCTTCCCTTATTGATTCTTCAGAAAAGTAAATTTTATAAAATAGTAAAATTGGATTTGATTTAATATTGGTATCCTTTTGTAATAATTTTGGTTAAATTTGATATAAAATCCTATATTATAAATTAAATAATCTAAGATGTAATTTTTGTAACATTAATTTTGATAATTTTTTTTATATATTTTACGTGTTTTGATTTAATTTTTATAAACTATGATATAATTTTAGTAATATTTGATATACAAATTTTGGTAATTTTTTATTTAATATTGATGTATTTGTAACAATTTTGGTTATCTTTGGTTTATTTTTAATAACTTTTGATATGATTTAAATAACTTATGATATGATTTTGATGAGCTTTGATATATTTTTAGTAATTTTACATTTAATTTCAATAACATTTTATTTAACTTTGGTAATCTATGATTCAATTTTAGTAGTTTTTTATATAAAAAATTTGACAGTCTCAATAAAATTTTAATAATCTTTAATAAAATTTTGATAAGTATAATACAATTTTGATAATTTTTTGCACGACTTCAATAACATTTATATAATTTTGATAAAATTTGAAATAAATTTGGTAACATTTTATATTATTTTGATAACTTTCGAAATAATTTTGATAATTTCACTACAAATTTGATAACCTTTGACTTTTTTTTTGTATTTTTTAATATAATTTTAGTAACATTTGATTTAATTTTGATAATATTCAAAATAATTTTGGTAACTTTCAAACAATTTTGACAATATTTGGTACAATTTGGTAAGATTTTATATAATTTTAGTAACTTTTTATAAAATTTTGATAATTTTTATAACAATTTTGATAAATTTTTTGATAATTTTTAATATAATTTTGATAATATTTGAAACAAATTTAGTAACTCTTGAAACAATTTCGGTAACTTAAATATAATTTTTGATAACCTTTACTATAAATTTGGTAACATTTGTTGCAAATTTAGTAAAATTCAGGTAACATCTGAAATAATTTCGATAGTTTTTAAAATAATTTTGATAACTTTTGAATTTTTTTTTTTATAACATTCAATACAAAATTAATAAGTTTTATACAATTTTAATAACTTTCAAAACAAATTTGCAAAATCGTAACAAAGGTTATAAACAAAACTAATGTTCCGAATCTACCATCTCCTTTAATACGATGTAATTAAAAACAAAAACCAAATGCCATTAATAGTTTAATACTCATCTTTGGTCAAGCCAAATGGAGATTAACAAGCATTGGAATATAACACGAAATACCAGTATTATATAGAAAATTTTATTCCAACTCGATGTTAAAAATTATTAAATTCATTTTATTTTTAATCAAATTCATCAATCATATTGAAACTAAATATTTAAAGAATATAAATTTAATGCATCATTAATATATAAATTTTATATATTATTAATGAAACAGTTAATATTACTTCATCAGTGAATAAATATAAATTTTATAAATTTTTAAAATCAATAAATTAATTTTTAATTAATTTTTTTAATCAACGAAATGATATTTTATGATTTATGAATAATATATAAAATTTATATATTAATAATATATTAAATATAAATTCATATTTAAATTAATTCAAACTTCAAACATTAGATTATCTTTAAAAAAAAAATGATTTTACTAAAAAGCGTTTTAAAAAACAATTAGAATTATCATTTAAAAAAAAATTTCATCAAATGTACATAATTTTCACTTTAACCATTTATTACATATTTTTAAATATAATTGAATTTCAAAATCGAAAATATCATTTGTAAAATATCACATCTAAACAAGTATTTTTACAAGCACCTTTTCAAAAAACTTAGAAGAAATATGTCAATTATAGTTGATATTAAAAAGGTTATTACAATAATATATTTTTATATTATATTTAGTAATTAATGTATATACAAATTATTAATTTTATAAAATAAATTGTTATTCATACACATTCACGTGTCCCCGATTATTAGAACAAAAATAAACAAAATGTAGACAAAATTAAAAGAAAAATAGCATCCATAACAAAAATTAAAAGCACGAAAAGACAATTGAATTAGGACAGATGGATTAGTTGATAAAATCTACCACTATTTGTGAGGGCTTTATCAAAAGGAATTGTTAAATCATATTGTATAACTTTAGTGGTTGAGAAAAAAAATTAAAGAAGATTCATGTGAAAGATTTTTGGAGTGCTGACCAGACCGACCATTTTCTTGTTCTAAACCAAACACAGTCCGTCGTCGGACATCAGATTTGTTAGGTATGTACTGTGTACTTTTTTTTTGTTCTCTCTTAATCCGTGATGGATCTGAACTCATCTGCTAAACCGAATTATCGAACCGAGCAGATAAATTCAAAGAAGCAAAGAATTTATGTAAATAAAAAATTTTCCTCGTTTGTCTCGTTTGGGTCGGTCTCGTTGAAGTTTCGCTTTTGACACTGAGCAAAAACGAAAAGCGCGTGCCACACTAATAAATCCACTAACAAATTATTTTTAGTCGGGCATCGAAACCAAAGAAGGAAAAAAAATTAACCCTACCAAACGCTCCCTTAGCCCACCGAAACGGCGAAACCCGTCATCTCTTTCTTCCCCATTTTCCTTGGCATTCTCGATCTTTTCTCCTTCCCTCTCTCTCTCTCTCTCTCTCTCGTTTTCGTGCACTGTTCTTCAAAAATCGAGTTTAGATCTGTTTTCTATTCCTTGAAATTCCGTGTTTGACCTTCTTCGTTGAATCTCCCAAACAATTTCCGTACCCTCCACCGATTTAGGGTTTCGATCTCTTCTCCGTTTTGTTGGTCTTTTTCTTTTTTGGTTTTCTCAAAATTGCATCTGCAAACAAAAAAAGAAAATCTTCTTAAACTTTTCAATTTTCAATATTTTCTGATTTCCTTTGCGATTTACGTTCTAATCTAAATTTGATTACCTTATGATTTGCTAAATTGCTTTGATCCTCATTAAGGTTGCTTGAATTTGTATCGATTTCGGGTGACATCCAGGCTTGCGTGTTTTTGGGGTCGTTTGTTGGGTTAGTTTAGTGCTGAAACGGATGGACTCTCGGAACCCTAACGGATCTTTGTCGCAGCAATCACAGCGTCCGAAGAAGTACGGAATCACGAAACCAATATCCCTTGCGGGGCCAAGTGAGGCTGATATTCAACGAAATACGGAATTAGAGAAGGCAATATTAGTCTGTAATTTTTAAGGATTGCATATTTTTAATGATTTTTAATTCACATTTATTTCTTTTTATTTCTGTAGTTTTTATTAGAGTCGGGGCTTTACGAAAGCAAAGAAGAAGCCGCAAAAAGAGAGGGGGTTCTTGGCCATATCACTGAGGTAATTAGCAAATAATTGAGTTTGCTTTGCTTGTTGTCTTCCCATTTCCATAAAATGAAGAAAAATATGGATAGTTGTTGGTAAATTGCTTTTTGTTACTATTCCTTCATGTGCTATTCATGTTTGACTTAGGAATTGACTAAGCACCTAGTTGGCTTTCTTGTTATGGTGATTGCATGATGATCTAAATCGTGAATTTTTATTAACCTTTTGGTTTATTTTTTTTAAGAAATTTTCTGGAAGAAAGAAATAATTATGTAAGAGTCGCACTCTATAGGGCTTTAGTATGTTCCTATGTCAGCAAAAGATGTTTTTATCAAACCTAATTTTTTGGTTTGGTTCTGAAAAAGTGTGAACTGTTGTCCTTATAGATTGTAAAAAGTTGGGTAAAGCAATTAACTGGTCAAAGGGGCTACACGGATCAGATGGTTGAAGAAGCAAACGCTGTCATTTTTACTTTTGGATCTTACCGTTTAGGGGTAAGTATGAATTCCTACTTCCTTCTACCATAACTGCTATTCCATTAACTTTTGTTTTAATCTTTCCAACATTTCTTTGCAATCATAGAAAATTGGTTTGAAATTTTTTATACTTGTTTAGCCTGTTATGGCAGGATATATGAATTTGATAAGAAAAAACCCTTAAGGATATAAAGTTCCCTAGGTTTACAATAGAAAATTTTAACCTTTATAAAATGTCATATGTTATTTGGTTATTAATGGAAATATAGCAAAGAAGCTTTGGTTTCATTCTGCTTTTTATTTTGGCAAAAAATATTAATTTCTCTTCTTTTGTCAATTTCTTTGCAATTGCCATTGATTATAATTCCGTTTAGCATGTTTTGTTTGTTTTGTCTGTCTTGCAAGTAAGTTAAATCTTTGATATTCGGATGATAAGCAATATGTCACCATTTTGACAGGTGCATGGACCTGGGGCCGACATAGACACTTTGTGTGTTGGGCCATCTTATGTGAATCGAGAGGTTTCTTTAATCTGGCTAATTCTTTTGTTTTCTTTCAATTAAGTTGGTGGCCATTTAATTTGAGTTTTAATAATGTTTAATTTGAACTTTGCCAGGAAGATTTCTTCATCATTTTGCGTGATATTTTGGCTGAAATGGAAGAAGTTACTGAACTTCAACCGGTTCCAGATGCTCATGTCCCTGTAATGAAATTTAAGTTCCAAGGGATATCGATTGATCTTCTTTATGCAAGTGTATCTCTTTTGGTTGTTCCAGATGTAAGTTTGTAATCCCCTTGATGACTTTTTGGATCTAACACTCTTGTTGACTCTGCTGCATTGCTTATACTCAAGCGAAGGCCAAGAATGATTTCCTTTACATACTGCAGGATGTTGCAAGCTATTCTATGATAACAATATCTTTCTGCCTCTCCCTTTTTCGTTTCTTGGTTTCCTTGATATGTTGTTAGGTAGACCTTATAACGTTTTTGTTTTATGATAACAAATAGCTGCTTTTAAGCATAGGGTGGTATGCGAATCTGGTATTCTTTTGTTTAAAATATCTCATTATCCTTCCTAACTTTTTGCACCTCTGACTTTTTGCAATTGATGATACACCCTAACATATGTGTTCTTTTAGCTGTCCTTTCAATTAGTTTTTTTCTCGGTAGTTTTCAACAAGCTATAGAGATCTCTGGCTTTTTATGAAAAGAGAAATAACAAAAAGGCATATTAGATGATTTTGTAAGTTTGGGGTTCAAAATGAATTTGACCAGGAGTTGGAGGGGTCTTAGAATGTTTTAACTTCTGGTTGAGACTTGAGATGTTACCTTTACTGAAGGGACCAATTGATATAGAATTTTCATGAGGTCTTATTATGTAGTTTTGTGAAAAAAGTTCCTATGGTTTATATGATAAAAGTGTAAAATTTGTGGTGCGATATCTAATTCCTATGAAATATATGATAAAAATGTAAAATTTGTAATGTATAGAAAATGCATACAATGTTTAGTGCTATCTAGTTTGATATCTATGTTATTTTTGAACTAATCAACAGGACCTTGACATCTCACTTGGGTCTGTGCTGCATAACATTGATGAACAAACTGTTCGAAGTCTTAATGGGTGCAGGGTTGCTGATCAAATCCTTAAACTTGTTCCAAACGTTGAGGTGAATATTTTGTATGCCTATCCACACTTGTTTTATTAACTTTCTCATTTTGCAGTCTTCTAATTCATTACATAATTATAGCACTTCTGCATGACGCTTAGATGTTTGAAGTTCTGGGCCAAAAGGCGAGGTGTTTATTCCAATGTAAGATGGGTATTTATTGGTTTCATTTTCATTGGCTTCTTTACTTTCATATTATGTTCTTAATTTTCTGTTTTTACTTGTATATAGGTTACTGGATTCCTAGGAGGTGTAAATTGGGCCCTTCTAGTCGCACGTGTGTGCCAGCTTTATCCCAATGCAATACCTAGCATGCTCGTTTCTCGATTTTTTAGAGTATATACTCAGTGGAGGTGGCCAAACCCTGTTATGTTGTGTTCAATAGAAGAGGATGAACTTGGCTTTCCCGTCTGGGATCCTCGGAAGAATCCTCGGGACCGGTTTCATCATATGCCGATAATAACTCCTGCATACCCTTGCATGAATTCGAGTTACAATGTCTCTATAAGCACTCTTCGTGTTATGATGGAACAGTTCCAATGTGCTAATAAAAAATGTGAGGTGAGATAACACATGATTAATGTCTAGCTGCCTACATTGAAGTTTGGAACTATTGATCACTTATCTTAGTAATTTTGTTTTGTAGGAGATTGAGCTAAACAAAGCTCAATGGAATGCTTTATTTGAGCCTTATCTGTTCTTTGAGGCATACAAAAACTATCTACAAGTTGACATTGTTTCAGCAGATGCTGATGATATGCTGGCATGGAAAGGCTGGGTGGAGTCACGGCTTAGACAGCTTACCTTGAAGGTAAACGCTAATTTCTTCATTGGGAGTACTCTATTTAGCTTTGAGTCACTTTTGCTTATTTTAACATTATGATGACTGTTAAGATGATATTTCAGTACATCCAATTTTTTTCCTTTTTCTCATGGTTTCCATGTCACTCTGCAGATAGAGCGGGACACAAATGGAATGTTGCAGTGTCATCCTTACCCAAATGAGTATGTAGATACATCCAAGCAGTTCTCACATTGTGCTTTCTTCATGGGCTTGCAGAGGAAAGAGGGAGTGAGTGGTCAAGAAGGTCAACAATTTGACATACGAGGAACAGTTGATGAGTTCAGACAAGAGATCAGCATGTACATGTATTGGAAACCGGGAATGGATATTTATGTTTCTCATGTTCGTAGGAGGCAGCTCCCTGCCTTTGTTTTTCCTGATGGATATAGACGGCCTCGATCATCGAGGCATCCAAGCCAGCATACTGGAAAAGCTTGTGAGGATGTCACAAGGTTCCGGTCAGGGTCTGCGGAAAGACAAGCTAAGAGAAAACATAATGATGAGACAGTGGATGAAAAACTAGACAAACCTGAGAAGCGGGCATCTATTAGCCCCCAGAGGGTGGGGTCTGTTTCTCCTGAATGTATTACAAGTATGTCTGGTGGAACATCTCATATTAGCAATGGTCAAGCAGTTAAACTAGAGTGCCTGACTACTGGGGATGTTGGTAGCAATTCTGTTGATAGGCTGTCTAGTGGGCTGTCTAGTGGGCTGTCTAGAACTTTTGATCAAGTGTCCCTCACCATAAGTGGGCAGACTTTAGATGTAGATAATTTGTCAGTAGTTAGAAATGTAGAGTCAGCTGAACAGATGGGCCAACCTGTTCCTAGGCAGGAATTGCTTTCTCCATGTGAAGTTCCTGATTCTGAAATAAGGGAAACATGCAAGACTGACTTGAATCAAGAGAAAACTGGTGATTTGGCATCAGCTTACATGGATGATGCAGAGACTGGATCTTCTAGGACAATTTTAAACTGGAAGGGTGGTGGTGTTGGGGTCGATCAAGAGGTGGTCAAACCATGTAATCAAACAGCTGTAGTAGAAATTGCTGCAAGTGTATTTGGGTCAAGTTCCAATGTGCAGAACCTCAATTGCGAGGTGAGTTTCTTTGTTTGAGGTATTTGGGTTAAAGATTGTAGCAGATGGCAGTGAGAATAATGGAAGATCTGGAGATAGTGAGAGTCAGGGATCTTTGCAGGGTGGTGTCTGCAGTGCAGATTTGGATTCACTTCTGGAAAATGGACAATTGAATGCAAGTGGTGTGCTCCAAAACAGCTTGCCTGAAGAATTAAAGGTTTTGAATCTAACTTTGGGACATAAATTACTTAATTTTTTTTATCTTCTATTTTCTAGTAGCTGGTTCCCTTACTGTTTTTTTTTTTGTATTTAGGTTACCTTTTATGTTCATCTTCTTTTTCTATGTGGTTGGGTCAATGTGACAGTCAACCCTGGTTTTTTTGTATTTTATTCTTGGGAAATGAGGTTTCCAGCAAAAATATAGTCATGACTTAATGTTTAATGAGGCGGGAACAAAATCTTTATGTCAGATGATTTCGAGGATTTACGACTTTCTTATGTTCTTTTTTAGGAAATCTTTCAGCATTTTTTCATGTAATCAATGCAATTTTGTCTAGTTGTGTCTTCCCTAATCATTTTATCATGTTAATTCTTTGCCCATCCAATCTCCTAACTGGTGCATATGTGGTGGCAGGTCCTGCACCACCATCATACGTGTTATGTTTCCAGTAACTGTGCTTAAGACCCTGACTCTGTTTTGTGTCTAAGGCTCAGATACATGACCCTCCCTCTTATTTCTTACCTTTTTTTAACAATTTTTGGTGGCCTAACTTGCCTTTTTACCTTTATTTTGTTGTATAGCCAAATATTGCAGTTGGAAAGGTTGTAAATTCTCAAGATGGAGCTAGGTCAGAAACTTTGCAGAATCCAGTGATGAGGCATGTGTTTTTGGAACTTATGTTTTGTTTAAGCAAATTATGATCTCTTTATGCTGGTTTTTTAATTATTTATAGCAGGTTGAGTTTGAAGTCAACGGCATAATTTGTTGTAAATGATGCATTTGGAGGAGGATGTTTGTGACCAAAGGAGTAAGGCCAGCGTCTGGGTAAGTGTCCCATTAATTGCTGGCTTACATTATGGTTTTACAGGTATACCGAGTGTGATTGGACTGGCGCCATGTGGTGTAGAGTTGTTTTGCTTATACTTTTAGGTGTGTTGTACCGTGTGATTTTAGCATGGAGTAGCCAAGAAGCTATAAGAGTGCTGCTGGTGCTTTGAAGACTCTGCTATCTCATTTTTTGCCACTTTTGAGTGTGGCATGCTTCTTGCCTCGATCTATGAATGAATCATATTTCATCGAGAAATTGTAAATCAAACAGGGGTATTGCTCTATCATTTAGATTATTTTTTTGTAACCTTATGTAATCCTTTGTACACTAGTAATACAGTTCATCAATGCTTTCTAGTTAGTTAACTCATCTCTCTCTCACTTTTGGGATACCTTTATTCTTCTTGTTGATTAGGATAAATTAATGTCACTTTTTTTGGCCTTGGAGTTGTGAACTTGAATGTTGGCAGAACTATTTAAGCTGTCTGAACCTTGCAATGTAGCCAATATAGATTATCATTATTACTAGTATATTGAGTTGGATACCGGACAGTCTGAATTTGGAAAGAAAGAATGATTGGTAAAAGGGAACTTACGCTGCCGGTATGGTGCAGTTGGACTAGAAGAGCTGCTTTTTGTCACTTTGTACATTTAGCGGACGGGTGATTCCAAGTTAATTTTCAAATGTGGAAATAACAAGCCGAGCTGACTCCCACATCTGTGAATCCTGTTGGCTGTACGCGTATACGATTAAAGTCAATTCAAAGGGTGGTGTTTATAGCTTTACAGCGGTGCTACTGGAATTGGTGACAGGAAGAGAAGCCGATAGCGCGGATGAGAATACGAGCCTAGTAGAATGGGCGTGGCAGCAGTTCTCAGAGCATAAGCCCATGGATGACACACTTGGATCCAGAGGTAAAAGAATCATCCTACTTGGAAGAAACGATAATGGTATACAAGGTAGGAATCGTCTGTACACATGCATCACCCTCTACCAGGCCTTACATGAAGGAAGTTTTGCATGTCCTTTGTAGCTGTTGCTAGGAGGATGGTTATGGAGCCAAAAAAGTGGGATGCGACTTTGACGTGGCTCCACTTCTTGGCGGTGCCTCTGCCACTTATCTTTCCAGTTACAAGCGCAGTAAGAAGGGATCCAAGGAAGATGACAGCATAATTCACAATGTATGATTTACCATAGCAGTGTGGTGACTCCGGGGAGCAAAAGACTATGTATTAGCGCAAGAAGCCGACATGATTCCCAGGTATGGGAGTCAGCTTGGCTCGTTATTTCCACACTTTTGAAGATAAACGTGAGATTTTGTACAATGATCCCATGTTAATCTTCAAAAGTGTGGAAATAAGGAGCCAACCTTTCTTCCTCTTTTGGGAATCCTGTCCATATGGTTGCGCTTATACCGAGAAATTTGCTCCCCAGAGTACCCTTTGGTAAATCATACACTGTAAATTATGCTGTCATCTTCCTCTGATCCCTTATTACTGCGCTTGTAACTGGAAAGATAAGTGGCAGAGGCACTGCTATGAGACTGCCCCTTTGTTATAAATGATTAATTAGTGAAGAGAAAAATTGAGTTGCTATAAAGGGTAATAAAACCGACAACAGTTTTATTTATATACTTGTTTAGATAGACTGAACTTAGGCCCAGCTTAAGCTAAGTGGTCCGTCAGTCAACGCTTAGCATCATTGAGTCAATGTTGATGCAAGACAAGATATGGTTGGCAACTGATAAGAAGCTTCCAAATGCTTGTATTTCTTACACGTTAATTTCTTGTTTAAAAGTTACTTTCAAAAGAAAATTTGTTTGAATGTTTGACTATTATATTGGTTGTATATGCTTTGATCAAATTATTCAACTATGAAGAAATAGAAGTGGGTTTGGCTCATTCCACACTCCTCAATGATCTCATTGGCATCTTCAATTATTGGGATTAATATTTCCATGTCCTCATTCCTTCTTTACTGATTAGATGTTGCTTTTATTGATTTTTGAGCTAATATTATTTTTAGGTTTTTAATAAAAATCATAATTAAAAAAATAAACAAATGAATTAAAAGTATTGAAATATAATTTATACCTGTATATCACATTTTAAAATACTTAAATAAATTAAATTTAAATTAAATCTTAAATTTAATGTTATTTTCAATTTTTACAACACTATTTTAACATTGAATTTTGTTGTACAGCCAAACATCGCAGTTGGAAAGGCCGTAAATTCTCAAGATGGAGCTAGGTCAGAAACTTTTCAGAATCCGATGATAAGGCATCTGTTTTCGGAACTTGTGTTCCGTTTATGTAAATTATGATCTGTTTATCCTGTTATTTTTATTATTATTTATGGCCGGTTAAGTTTGGAGTCAACGGCATAATCTGTCGGAGATGATGCATGTGGAGTATGATTGTGACCAAGGGAGTAACGCCAGCGCCTCGGTAAACGTTCCACGAAGTGCTGGCTTACATCCATAATATTAAATTTGTAGATTTAAAAAAAAACGAGCGCTTCGTGCACTCAACCTGCTTTCAAAATTTATATTTTATATTTAATTAATTTTATAAAAAATCAATAAAACTAAAAATAATAAAATAACTCATCCAATAATTTTGATCTGTTTTAATCTATTATAATTCTTTAAAAAAAATTCAAGATAGGGTTATTGTTTTTTTTTTTTTTTAAATATCAAAATTAGAAGGAAAACAAATTTAAGATATTTTATCCCTTTGTGTATATATAAAAAAATATTTGTATTATTTATTTAATTTTTTATTTAATATATATTATAGCAATGAAATTATTATTTAATATTTTAACTTAATAAAATCATATCACACTTCATTTGGTTTTTTCTATTTTTTTTGTTTTCATTTTTTTAGTTTTTAACTTTTTTTTAAGTAAATAAACTTTGTAAAAAAATCAATAAAAGTAAAAATAACAAAATAACTTATATCTAATAAATTTTGATTTGACTTAATTCAATACATATTTTTTTAAAATTCGGCATTCGATTTTTTTTTTTTTTTGGAAAAATTAGCTTAGCTAAGAGATAAGTATACGACGTTTTGTCTCGTCCTAAATATATATAAAATTATATATTTTATGTTATATTTATATACATATTATATTATACTTAATTTTAATAAAAATTATATTTATATATAATTAAAATATAATAATATTAAAAATACTTTCAGAATTATTATACTAAATAAAAATTATTAAATTAATTTTTGATTAATTTGGGTTGGATGTGAAATATATGTAACAGGTTGAGAGTAAGTATTAGTGAATAATAATTAGATGTTAGATCAAAATTAAAATCAAATTAAATTATTAAAAATCGAGTTAGAGTGGAGCCTTTTTCCCATTAATTTGACTTATTTTTTCCTTTTTTCTTAGGCTATTTATTTTTTTAAGTTTTTTTTTTGTTTTTTAATTATCTATTTTAATATTTTTATATATGTTTTGAAAGATAAAATAACAATAAAAATGTTTATGTAATATAACATTTGGTTTTCTCTTTTTTTCTATTATATTTGTCTTTTCTCTTTTTTAAATAAAATAAATTTCATAAAAATGAGTAATAGTGAAAATAGGGATGTCCGAACAATTTATATTTTATAAATTTTGACTCGTCAATCTAATAAAAAAATTTTTTAATTAGATTCAGATTAAGATATGATATTTTTTTTTTTGAAAATTAAGATTAGATTGAAGGTAAGTTTAAAGTGTTTAATCTCGTCTCGTCTCATCTCGGGATATATATAAGAATATATATTTTATTATTTATATAATTTTATTTATATAATATATTAATAAAATTATTATTTAATACATTTATTTAATAAAATATTATATTTATAAATAATTGAGATAAAATTTACATTATAAATAATATTTTATAAATATTATATTATTAAATTAACTTTTAATTGAGTCAAATATGATTTATGTATATATATATATATATATATGTGTGTGTATGTTGAATCAAGATTGAGTATATAAAAAGAAAACCAGACATCAAGTTTTACCAAATATGGTTTGTACGTATAAACCCGCACCGTTCTATATTTTTCTTTTTTGCTTGAGCCTTCTTTTTTTTTATTTTAGTTTTATTTTTTTTAATTGTCTATTTAAATATTTTAACTAGATAAATTTGAAAGATGAATTTGTATTTAATTTGTTATATAAGTTATAATAATTAAATGCATTCATTATCCACAAATTAATTTATAAATTTTTATTAATCATTGCTTTTATTAAAAAAATTAAAAACAAAATTATATTCACTAATTATCAAATTTAATATTATTATTTACAAATAAAAAATTTATACCCGCGACAAAAAATGCTGCTAGTTATGTTTTACAGGTATACCGAGTGTGACCGGACTTGCGCATGTGGCGTAGAGCTGCGTTCTTTGGCTTATACTTTTAGGTGTGCTGAGTGCTGGTGCTTTTAAGACTGCTGTATCTTTTTTTGCCACTTTTGAGTGTCGTGGCATGCTTCTTGCCTCGATCTATGAATGAATCATACTTCATCGAGAATTGAAAGTCAAACAGGGCTGTTGCTGCATCATTTAGATGTTTTTTTTTTTTTTTTTGTAACCTTATGGAATCCTTTGTACACTTGTAATACAGTTCATCAATGCCTTTTAGGTAGCTCATCTCTCTCTATCACTATTAGGAAAATCCCTGTGCACATGAGATACCTTTCTTTCTTCCTTCTCGTTGATATGATAAACTAATGTCACGTTTTTTGGCCTTTTGAGTTATGAACTAGAATGTTGGCAGAATTATTTAAGATGTCTAAACCTTTATCATTATTACTAGTATTTTGAGTTGGATACTGGATGGTCTGAGTTTGGAAAGAAAGATTGATTGGAAAAAGAGAATATATGGTGCCAATTATGTGCTGTTAACTACAAGAGTTGCCTTTTATCACTTCCTACATATATTTAGCAGACGGTGATCCCATGTTAATCTTCGAAAGTGTGGAAATAATAAGCCAAGCTTTCTTCCCTCTCTTGGGAATCCTGTCGATATGGTTGTACTTGTACTGAGTCTTTTGCTCCCCGGAGTCACCATACTGCCTCGGTAAATCATGCAATGTAAATTATGCTGTCATCTTCCTCTGATCCCTTCCTACTGCGCTTCTAACTGGAAAGATAAGTGGCAGAGGCACTGCCAAGAAGTGGAGCTATGTCAAAGTTGATCCCCACTTTTTGGCTCCATAACCATCCTCCTGGCAACAGCTACGAAGGACATGCAAAACTTCCTTCATGGAAGGCCTGCTAGAGGGCGATACATGTGTACAGACTATTCCTACCTTGAATACCATTATCATTTCTTCCAAGTAGGATGGTTCTTTTACCTCTGGATCAAGTATTTCATCCATGGGCTTATCCTCTGAGAACTGCTGCCACACCCATTCTACTAGGTTCATATCCTCATCCGCGCTATTGGCTTCTCTTCCTGTCACCAATTCCAGGAGTACTACTCCAAAGCTATAAACATCAACCTTTGCATTGACCTTTGTTGTATATGCGTACTCTGTAATACAAATGACAACTTTGTGTTAAAGGGGCGTTCCAGTTTTTCTGATTCGACAGAGATTAAAAAGGACACAAAGTCAAGTTTTGAGCATTTTTACCTGGGGCGAGGTAACCAAAAGACCCTGCAACTGCAGACATTGTGTGAGAACTTGCATGCCTAGTTAGCATCTTTGCAAGTCCAAAATCTGCAATTTTCGCCTTGTATTCAGAGTCCAACAAAATATTGCTAGACTTCACATCTCGATGGATGATTGGTGTAGGGCATTCATGGTGCATGTAGCATAGCCCCTGAGCAGCTCCAACAGCAATTTGCAACCTTTTTGGCCAATCCAAGACAGCATGGTAAGCTGAACTCATCCCTGACATTGACCTTCTCTTATTCCCATGAAGCCATCTATCAAGGCTCTGTTTCTCCATGTACTCGTATACCAGAAGCTTTGATTCTTCACTGGAAATGCAACACAGTAACTTAACTATGTTGGAATGGCGAATGTTGCCCAGTATTTCAACTTCGGCTAAGAACTCTTTCTCAAGCTTGTGATCCAGTTTCTTAGTATTCCAAATTTTCTTCACGGCAACAGATTCGCCTGAAAGGTTAATGAAGATTCGATAAACCTTCCCCGAGCCACCACTTCCGATGAGATTATTGTCTGTCAAATTGGATAATATATTTCCCTCTGTGAAATTCAATCTCTGGAACGATGTCAGTTTCCATGTTACTAGATACTGTACACCCTTTTTCCTGCTGTAGTCTCTAACTAGGAATAAGGTCAATAGAAGGATAACTAGGGAAACAAGGATGGCAAGTGCTATAATCATGGCAAGATATTTGGAGGACAACTTCTGTGGCTCATGGAATTTGGAATAGCAGTCCGGAAGCTTTAGAATTGGCTCATCTGCACATAGATCAGTATTGTTCAGAAAACTGTTCTCATATGCAAGGTTATCTAGCTGATTCGGTATCCCCCCAACAAGTTGATTGGATGATAAGTTGAGTGAAGTCAGCTTCAGGTTGCCAATTTCAGGAGGAATTTCACCAGAAAATTGGTTTTCTGATAAATCTAAGTTAAGCAAGTCAGGTAAAGACCCAATCGCAGCAGGGATTTCACCAGAAAGCTTGTTATTGGAGAGATCTAATGTAGTTAACGATCTCCATGAGATTATTTCAGAAGGTAGTTCACCAGAAAAATCATTACCGTCGAGAAGCAGAGCAATAAGGCGAGAAAGATTTGTTATCTCCTTTGGAATTTTGCCCGATAAGAAATTGTTGCTAGCCTGAAAGACAACCAAATTTGACCAAGATGCAATTCCAGGAGGAATTTCACCGGAGAACTCGTTGTCGCTAATTTCCACCCTTGACATATTCCATGCAATTTCACTTGGTAGTTTCCCCGAAAAAGAATTGTTGCTTAACATCAAGGTCGACAAATTGAAAGTTCTCCATAAACCTTGAGGAATCTCACCTGAGAACTTGTTGTTGTGAAGTTGAAAAGTGCGCAAAGTAGGGCAATTTCCTAGCGACTTTGGTACTTGCCCACTGAAATTGTTTGTGTGTGCAACCACTCCTTGTAGGGCACCTCCAGCACATAAATTTTCAGGCAGTTGACCACTGAATTGATTCTGTGACACCTCAAACCCTTCGAGCTTTGAATGAAGGCCGAATTCTGGTGGCAAGACTCCAGTCAACTTGTTGTGAAAAACGCGAAAATCTCTCAGGGCAGGAAGTAGGCCAATGCTTGCTGGCAACTCTCCTGTTAACTGGTTTGAGAACAGGTTTAAGAATTCCAAATATTGTAACTTCCCGAAGTCCTCTGGAATGGAGCCAGTCAAATTGTTCACCGAAAGATCAATTTCTACCAAATTCAACGCGTCGACAGCTTTGGGTATCTCACCGGACAGCTTATTGTCGAAGAGATACACAAGGGTTAGATTCTTCAGTGAAAACAGCCTACTAGGAATAGGACCTTCCAAACTGTTTCTAGACAGGTCCACGTGCTCTAGACTGGAAAGGTTGTTGAAACTTTCTGGGATTTCACCGATCAAATTGGTTTTTGTCATCCATATGTACCGCAACTTCCTTATCTGACCAAACTCTGGAGGTATGTTCATGGGGACAAACCCATTATAAGCCATGAGCAAAAATTCAAGATTGGGCAAGTCACCGATTTCCTTAGGAAACGTCCCATTGAACTGGTTTTGGTAAATGTATAAGGTTTGCAACTGCGATAATCTTCCAATACTTGGTGGAATATTACCAGAAAAATTATTGCCACTAATATCCAAGTAAACCAGAGTTGATAATCGGTCAATATCGTCAGGAATTGGACCGACAAAATAGTTTTGAGAAAGGTATAAGAATTGGAGCTTTGAACAATTGTAGAGTGTTGGGAATTCTCCAGGGATATAATTGTTGAAAAGGTCAAGGAAAGTGAGGTTTTTAAGGTCACATATTGTTGGAGGAATCCTTACCGTGATGTTTTTGTTACCGAGATGAACTTCAGTTACCGAATTGGCGGTGCAGTTGATCTCCGGCCAATCACACGGTGACGATGATGAGTTCCACGATCCAAGGGCTGGTGGATTGCCCAGTTGTTGTTTAAGCTTGAGAAGAACAGTTCGTTCTGTGTTTATGTATTGTGCATAAATCACTTTGAGGGGTATGGATATGAAGAGGAGGAAGAGGAAGGATAACCGTAGTTCAGACATTTTTTGGATAGCCCTTACGTCCGGTTGTTTCTTATTTCTATTTTGCCGGGAAAGGGTTTGGCTTATTAACGGCCGGTTTTTAAAATTTCATTGGTGGCTTGGCCTTGGTAGGCGTGACACTAGTTTGTGATTTATAAGTGAAGCAGGCTTTTGTTTCCGTTCTAAGACTTTTTTTATTTACCTTTTTGCCACTAAGGCGTACCAGTCAAGTTGGGTAGCAAGAGTTCCGTTTCTTACACGGACCAATCATAATCATTATCTTAAGGGTCCTACCATTATATTTGGTTCCACTCTACAAATCATGGTTAAACTAACTTCACTTAAGATTTATTGTTTAGGGAAACAAAACACCATATTTTATTTGATTAATAAAAAGATATATATAGTTAGATTAGTTAGTCTGTTATTAAAATAAATATATAAAATTTACGAATTTAAGAGAATTTAAGTGTATGATATTTTTTTAATTAATTATATAATTAAATAAAAAATTTAATAGTAAATTAAAAGCTTAAAAAAATAAAAATAAAAAGATATATATATATCTCTATTTGCAATAACCAATTAAGAAAAATTAGAAATCTTTGAGCTTTCTAGGCTGTATTGTCTTATACAGACAAACTGATTTATTTGCTTTCAGGCATGGATATCAATTGGGCTTTTACTGTGACCCTTCTTATGTTTTTGAAACAATGGGTTGGTTTCTGGTAGTATTATTAAATTGTGTTGAATTTTTTATAATAGTTTTGAACAACCTGCCAACTGCCGGATGAAGCTTGCAAGCCAAAGGCAATTTGGGTGTGCTGTTCCGCAATTAGTTGCAAATACATGGGTTTTTTTGTAAAAATTCTTGGTTGAATAGTCAAACAGTACGTGCTCGTTGAGCCCGTGCCCGCTTGGCTTTTTTCATTGACAAGAGGCTTTTAAGGCAGGATAAGAGAAAATTTTAAATTTGTCGTTGGTTTTTATATCATTTTTTAAATTTATTGGCAATTCATAAATTGGTTCATTTGCATTATTATTATTTTCGTAACTTCTCTTATCCATTTATATTCTTTGTTTTATACCTAACTTGTGATGTTATAATTTAGTAGCCAATAATATTTTTACTGTCACAACATTAATATTCACATATAATTTCAAGATAAATAATTATTTATTTAGTTAATTATTTCATTTTTTTATAAAGTAAAAATAAAGAATAAAATCAAATATAGAACATTCTTTATTTTGAACTTTTTATGCTTTTCCTCTCATTTATTTTTTTACTTTCTTTTCTCTTCATATACTTAATTGGCTTAAATGTTGATGCATACTTTAAAATATTACTTTTGACGCTTCTTGATTTTTTTTATCTCAATCTTTAAAATTTTTTTATCACCAAATCAAGAATTATATCAATACATTATATTATGAACTAAAATTTAAAATTTACTTCTGTAATTAATATTGAATATAAATTGGGATTGCCCTTTTATTATAAATGATTCATTAGCAAAAGAAAACTTGAGTTGCTATAAAGGGTTTGTAAAACCAACAAAAACAAAATGAAGAATTTTATTTTTTATACTTGTTTAGATAAACTAAGCTTAGGCCCTGCTTAAGCTAAGCCAATGGGCCAGTCAGTCAACGCTTACCGGCATTGGGTCAATGTTAATGCAGGACAAGATGTAATTGGCAACTCATGAGAAGCTTCTAACGCTTTTTTTTCTTAGACTTCAATTTCTTGTTTGAATGTTTGACTATTATATTGGTCATTTATGCTTTGGTCAAATTGTTGAACGTATCACACTTTTATCTTGAAGAAAAAGAAAGGAAGGGAGAGGGTTTTGCTCATTCAATACTCCTCAATGGTCGTTGGCCTCATCCGGGATTAATTCCCTTGTTATTTACAAAAGGGAGAAAAAATTATAAATATTAAAATTTAACATTTAAATTTATTGAATGTTATATTTTTAATATAATTATATAAAGCAATTATATGAATTAAAATTTGAATTTAATATTATTTTAAATTTTCACATTAACACCATTTTAATGTTGAATTTTCTCCTCTTCTTTTCCCCTCTTTTCCAATACAACTGCTCCAAAATCAAACTTTCTAAAAGGGTCTTGATAAAGACAGGAAAGAAGTTTTATTGGTCCTTTATTTATTTATTTATTTATTTTTGTTGGTTAAAAGTTGTAATCGTCTTTGCTGCTTGTCTAATGGCATACGCATTCTGCGCTTGAAAGTAAATTCCCTTTTTTTTTTTATTTAATCTCGAATCTCAAAGGCATATATTAAGGAGATAAAATTATTTATTTAATTTGTAGCAAATGACATAAGAAGAGGTAAGTTGCATTTTTATATACTTAATTTTAGAATAATTAATTTGAAAGCAACTTCGATCAAACCATCCATTAAGCTATAAGTGTACGACTTATAGAAAAAGCTTAAGCCAAAAACGTAGCAATTGGAGGATAAATGTATACAATTATATATCGAGAAAATATATGGTACTTAAATTTAATATATAGGCAATATATTATTTTGAAGAACCCGACAATTAGCCTTTATAAACATGTGAACGAAGGCTAGTTTTTCTGCAATTTGATTTGGTATTTGTTGACGCTAACATGGCCACTTTGTCAAGCTGACTCTACAATTTTGGATGTTGCTTGCCAGCCCATAGATACAATGATAATGATCATATATATATATATATATATATATGGTTATCAAATAAATTTGGATCGATACATATATTTTGTTAAATTATAATATATATATATATATATATATATATGAATAATTTTTGTTTCAAATAATAGTATAATCTATCTGTGTGTTGTGTTAAAATAATTTATGAAGTGTAAGGGTTAATTTTTAGTATTTTTGTTGTTCTCATCTAATTAAGGCAATCTAGTTATGGGTTCTGGAAGTGGAAATTATAGGTCTTTGATGCAATTTCTAAATGTTAGGTGACCTGATACAGAAAAAAAAAAAGATATAATTAATATTTTGGACGAATTGCAAGTGCCATGACCACTTACTAGAAAATAGATGTAAGTGTAGAAAATATGAAAAGAAAACTTGGAATTTGAAAGCTACCAACCCCACTATATTCAATTTTCAAGAGCAAATGGTTGTTACTCTAGAAATTTCATATATGTGGATGCCCTAATCAGGACAATTCACGACTGAAGTGTTTCACGTTTTGTCTGATTGCAAAGCGAAGGGCTCGTCTTTCTATTTTCTGTGGAAAACATGGGATGGTAATTGGTATCAATAATCAGTCAATAAAGCAAGGGGTCCAGTATTCGGCTGATGGAACAAATCAGAAGAAAGAAGAGTTAATGTCGCCAAACATGCACGATTAGGACAGGAAAGTAGATGAGAGTGCTATAAACGTTGTGCGGTAGTTAAGAGAGCACTACATTTTTAATTTAATTTCAGTAATTAGAATTTAATTTAGAGCATGCCAAAACTTGGTGCAAAATCGAGTCGACCATTTGATCATAATTGACTTAATGTTAGTAAGGAGTGTTTGTTTCTCAGCTCTGAAGGATGATTTAGATTTTGGATAGTAATAGGTTCATATTTTCACGTTGCAGTTGGTTTGGACTTATAGATGTCTCTCAAGTACAATTATAATAATAAATTTAAATTAAACGGATTTTAATTGATGAGTTATGCTTAGACCTGACCGATCCAACTTATTTTATTTCTAACTCTAAAATTTTATTTGGTTGGAAGGATGGAGAGAATCAAGGATGAAAATTTTATTAATCTAATAATAAAAACTTTTTTACTTCATAAAGCTTAATTATTATACTAACAAAACTTTTTTTCTCACTCCTTTCCATCATTCTAACCCAGAAAAGCCTAAGTGAGAGGAAAGGTTCTCTTTAGCAAAAATAAAGAATTATAGGATTTCTAGATTTGTAATTAATTTATTTTTGGTACATTAGCTCTCGGAACAAACCTGGAGATTTGTAATTAATTTCACTAAACCTGAATGTGAACAACATATATAACAAGTGCTCTGAGTCTCTGATAACCTTTTTTTTTTTTCTTTTGTTTCCTTGTGAACCTATGCTTCTATGGTGTACAGCTGTGCTCAAGGATGGTAATGGCATAAAGGAGTGAGTGACTATATTTAAAATTATAGCTGCAAGGACCCTAAAGCAGTATACTAGCTTGAACAGCTATGCATTTAACAAAAAAAGAAAAAAAAAGGAAAAAAGAATTATTAACAGCTATGCGATTGTGATCATATCTACTTTGAGTTGTGGACTAATATTTAAACTTGAAGGGCTTAGATGTTTGGAGAGCATGACTCAACCCTTGAATGGCAGCAGCTGCTACAGCCAGTGAGACAAGTAAGCAAACCAAGTTCAAAAGCTGGAGGCTGAGCCACCTAATTGTTCCTTGTTTGATCTTCTTTTGGGCAATGTGCATCTCTACTGGGAAATAGACTGTCATTGGCCGGTACCCAATGGCTGCAAGGAGTGCAATTATGTCATTAAAGAAAGGCAATGCCATGGCAATGAGTGTTGCAACAACCACAAATAATGTTCTCCAACATAGCCTTAATAAGTTGACTCTCAACTCTTTCCTAGAAATGCTGATTGGTTACTCTTCCGTTACAAAAGTTGAATTCGGCCAACACAAGCTAATCCATGATTCAACCACGCTAAATGCTGGTTGAGCGATTACCTGTCCAAATTCCATTCAAAGAAGTATTTTAATTAGTATTCACGTAGAATGAAACTAAACCTGATATGCTCCCACAAGGTGCACCACAATGAAGACATTGGCCAAGTCAACCACCCAAAAGGGCTCGTAAAATCCAAAGCCAGTCAACATGTTTCCTGGTGCATGGTTCCCAAATGCAGCATAGCCAAGGCAACCGCATAACAAGTATAAAGTGGTTGACGTAAACATTCCTATCATGTTAGCTTTCTTCATTTCCTTATTTTCAGGCGGTGATGACTTCAAGGTATCTTGGAAGTTCGTACAGAAAGGTAAAATTGTAAGAAACAGTAACATGCTATTTTCTCATATATAAAACCATAATCAAAGATTTTGATCATATTTCTTACGTGGATTTCAATCAAAATGCTAGAATATGCACAAGCAAGTACCATATTACCGGCTGCTGTAAACATTGTCCAAACCTTGTCTGCCACGGTTATGTCTACCGGTTCTTGCTCCGTTGCCTGTCCATATTGCTGCCTTTTTTCAGTAATTGAAAATGCTATATTTGCATTGGTTAATTGCTTACAGTTTAATATAATTTAAATGAAGGTTCATTTAATTGATTGATACAATTGTACTAGTTTTAACTAAGATCATCATTCCCTTTTTGGGTTTTTACATGATAAAAGCATAAAAACTGCTACTAGAAAGTTTGGCAAGTAGGAGACTTAAAATATAAATATTTGACAAAATTGAATTACCTTGAATAACCTTTGCAAAAGCAATTCCCATTCCAGTAAATGCATACCCAAAAGGCATAATAGCTGCAATGATGGAAATCCATGACACTTGTGGAAGTTTGGGATTTGAGAGACGAAATTTTCGACAATTCCTAGAGCAATCATGTATGGATTGTTGGAAAAGTTGCATGAAGCCCCATGATCTTTCTTGTGAAAATAATTTGATTTGCGTATTGCCCTGGATTTCAGGCGTTGTTAATGGCATAAATTTGAAGTGTGAAATGTAATATACTACTAACAGATAACTTTAATTGTAATATGTTAAACAATAGCTTACACCATGCTAATCGAGGCTGTAATGGTATAACCAACTAACATTCCAATGAGAAAGGTGTATTGGAGAAACCCACAGGCCTTGTAATTGATTCCACCTAGCACAATCGATTATAAAAACGAAAGTTAAATTTTGTGACAAGTTCTTTAAATCAAAGGTTTAAAATTCCGAAATTAAATCTGCAATGTCTAAAAATTACCAAGGTTGGTTTTGACAGCCTCCACGTAAGAGTAATTTCTCTTCACAGAGGTTGAGTTTGGAGATCTGTAACAATCTGCTAAGAGACTGGAAGTGTAATATGTGATGCATGCGAATACTAAGAGAGTGCCAACCCCAGCGATCCATCCAAGCTGCGCCATAGCCGAGGTCAGGGAGAGAACACCCGAACCTATGACCGCTGTTATTATGCGTGCACTTGCGGTCCATGCAGTCCCTGCAAATGATCACAGCACATAAGTGGTTAAGTAGCAATCATTTGTGTTATGAAATGCATATATTTGCCCAAGCCGAGGAAATTTCAGGCTCTGTCAGTTGGTTTTCTAAATTGATTAATTGCATCTTAACAATTCATCTGCACTTCTTCTCTCGTCAGTATCTCCAACATTGCTTTCCTATTAGATTCAATTCATTCAATATCGCTTGTCTGGGTTCCTCCTAAGTATTAAAGATCTTTGGTGGTCTGGTTTTAATTAACTCATGTAAACTATAAGTTCCATCAGTCGAGGTCCGAACTTGGGCCTCACATAGTCACATGATATGAAGCCATCAGGCACAAAACATAACAAAACCAACCTTTTTGCTTAGTGAGTTTTTTTTTTGGTTCAATTGGTTTCTTTTATTATTTTGCCATTTGGCAATGGTACGCAATTTAAGCATGATCTGTAAGATTCCATTACATTTAAATTCAATTAATGAAGTGGTTCGGCATATCTGTATCTGAAGTTATTAAATGCTAACAACTATCCAGCCTGACCGTTTCTCTCAGTCATTTGTTACCTGGAACCAGCTGTCCGTTTGTCTCAGTCATTTCTTATCTGGAAACCTGCTAGATTCTAGATAGAGCAGGAGCGACTCAGTTTCAGGGGCTTGGTCTCGTGAGAACAACTACTAACCCCGGGGACTGTCAAACCACAAGTTTATTCCCTCCGGTCGATTCAATGGGATCATTGGTCGCTTGGAAAGAATATATGCTCGCGAGAATCATAATGCCACAGTGCATTTAGGCAACTGTAAGTCTATAAGGCAGTGGCTAGTGGGAAATGTGGTTGCAACTATTACGTAGTTTAGAGAGCTTCCTTTTATTATTGAGATAAAATTTATACGTGAGTAAAAAATTTTATATTATTAAAAAATTTAAATGAGATATTGTGTGTGTATATATATATATAAATGATACAAAAATTTAATAATTTAAATTTTTGAGTTCAAGTGATGTCTAATATATATATATATATATGAATTTTTTGGTGTGCTTTCGTATGATCCAAGTATGATAAATCTCCAAACAATTGGTATTAGAGTCAAGTTACAGGTTCGAGTCTTAGTGGTATTACTGGAGGAAAATTATTGGCAAATCGGAGGTTGACTGCGTCCATCAATTTCATGTGCTAAAACACTTTCATGTGCTCGAACATTAATATTAAAAAATTCCATTTGGATGCATCCAGCTCTATTGGTTTTGATAAGTTAAAAAGCCTAAAGCTTTTTTTTTAATTTATTTTTAACCTAAAAGAGCCCTACTTATATAAAGTCTTAAACAATAAAAAGAGGCTTTGTAATAGAAAATCAAAAGTGGTGAAGCAAAAACCAAAGGAAAGAATAAAAGCTAAGAAAAATAAAGAAAAATAGAAGAATAGAGAGATAGTTGAACGAAAATTGATTCATAATCCGATTGATCTGAAATTTTGTCAACAAGTTTATTATTCAAAGTTTTATATTTTGAATAATAAAGATCGAGTTTGAAGCTCTTTAAGAACAAATCTAAGGTGTATTTGTTAAGTCACTTATTTGATTAGATTTCTCTAATTATCTTTCTAATTATTGATTAATTTTAGTTTTAGTTAAAAAAAAACTTTATATATCTATTATTTGATAGTGAAAATTTTTCTGATGATTCATATTTTTTTTTCTCTATATTTTTCATGTAAATTTTGATGTGTTTTATTTTTCTTGTATTGTTGATTATTGATTATTATATTACCATATGTTTATTATAATATATTAATTATAAGTTGCTATATTAATTGCTTTAGACTCAACATAGAGGACATGCTAAAACCCATCGAATCGATTATGAGTGCTAAAGTCTTTAATGAAATAATAACTCGATGCCTAAAATGTTTACATTTACAACTACTTGTTCTGATTTTATGCTAAAGTCCACTCATCAATCCGGTTGTGGAATCAGTGAAATGCTACGCACATGCATGCGATTCAGGGCAGGAGTTGGAATTTACGTGCGTGAGAGAGAGTAGCTCTTCTTCTTGGTTTTCCATCATCATCAAACTGACCACCTCCACTACCATCGCCTGCTTTGTGGGCATCCGAACCAGATTCACATATCTCATGCTGAATTTCTTGATCTAAAACAACACTGTGCATCTTCTTGTCTCTCTACTTTTTAACCTTTCTTTCTCAACTTGTGCAAAAGAATCTTGCACCATTCAAGCAAAAAATGAAAGCGAAAAAAATTGCTACAAACAGACTTACTATACAACTTGGTTCAATAGCAATCCTTAAAGCCTAACAAAATAGAGTTTCTTTGTATTTTGATGGTTAGATGCAGACGTATTTGCCACTAATGTCTAAGGGATATTCAACCGTGTCCCCTTTAAACTTTTGATTGGCTATCCTCTTTATTTAGCACTTGTCCTAAAGAGTGTTCATATGTAGTAAAGGCATATTTCCTGTTAGCTTTTTACATTTTCAATCACATAATTTCAAAGGACTTGTAATGCACTGATGCGGCTTTTAATTTTTGCCCAAATATAGAAGAATTGCAGCTGTCGACCCTTGTAGTTCGGGAAAATTGGATAAAAATTATTGCCACCGTCCTCCTGTGCTTTGCAAGTGGAAGGTGCTTTCTTTTCATTTTTCACCTACTCCTTGCTACATACTATAAACATATTGAATTATATGTTCTTTTAGGTCATGTTTGGGAGTCTAAACACATGTGAACATATTAAGATTATTTTGGAATCTTTACCATTTCCAAGGTTGTCTTTCTACTTTCAGTTTCCGGCAACTGCAACAAGCAAGAATCATTAATTTTTTTTTGTTTTTGTACAAATAAGCTAAGCCAAGTAAGAGAGATTTAAATCCTATATACCAAGCAAAAGTAGCTAATTAATAATAATGAACTCCCCAAAAAATGCTTCCTAGGGGGAATTAGGCCCAGGTAAGCCCAATATCAGCAAAAGTTTGGGCTTTGGAACCAGACACGCGTGGCCTGCAGTTGCATTGTTTCTCCAGGACATTATACTATTAGACAGTGTTTCACCAAACAATATGCTTGTAAAGCATTTTTGGCTTCCCAAATTGTAGATTCATATCACAAATGCTGCGTGCGCATTTATTACGGACCGAAACTCAACTTTTAGACTGTGTGATTTCAAAATCTGATCATAGATTTATTGATGTTCAGATTATACTATTATGAGATATTATTTGCTTTAGATCCATTGACCTCAAAATTTTACCCCACAAAAAAACCTCTCATAAAAAGAAAATGGTATCAACTCTTATATTCTATAACCAACCTCTCTAGGACCGTGGCATCCTCTTCTACTCCAGCCTACCATCCTTAGTGACACATCTCTAGTACTCTTCAGAGCTGGCTCATATATCATTTGTCACTAGTCAAGATTTAACTTTCAAGCTTATGCAACTCCAAGACCTAACCATGAACTAATTCGACATTTTAGATCAACCTAACCATCACGATTCACACTTTTGTAAGATATTATCCGATTCGATCCCCTTGACCTCACGGTTTTGTCCCACAAAAAACGACTCAGAAAGAAAAAATGACGTGAATCCTTATATCTCATGATCAATTCTAATACACAATCGATGTAAGATTTATATATCCTCTCTATGACCTCGACACATTCACAAAGCTGATTTGACATAAATCCTAGTCAATGAGAAGCTTGTTTCTGCTACAATAGAATCAATATGCAATACGGCACTGAATCATGATAAAATGCATGTTGAATAAGTTCAAACACTTTTAAGTGCTGAGAATAGGGCGGGATTACAGAGATTTAAGTTAGGTTCTGGTAACAGCGGCAAAATGGCTAGCCACCACTTTATTTGTATTCAAACGATGGCACGGGAGGAGCATCAAAGCTTTCCAAAACCCCCGTCACACTTCCACTACCTGTTGCTGATTCTTGCTTCTTTCCACCAAAGAGTCCTCCAAACCATGAAGAGGAAGAATTTGATGAAGAAGCTGATGATGATGATGACGAAGGTGAGCCCTGTCTCAAACTGTCAACTGATAGAGGGGCTTGGTTTGGCAATTGCCCCATTGGAAATCCAGGCATTCCAGCTGCATTCGGTGCTGGCTCTTCAATCATAATAGGCATCTGTGGTTGACTGAGAAATTTATTCAACATGATACCAGCCCCTTCAATCAAGGCAAGCAGAACCCCACCAAAGATTGCTGATCTGGAAGCAGCACCAAGTCCTTGACGCATTGAAAGAAACCCTCCAGTGGCAGCACCAGCTATAATCGAGTTCCACGGATCTTCCTTCTGTCGCACGTACACCATAGTGCAATCAAAGGTGGAAAAAAGGCCACCCCAAACAGCAAAACTACCACCAACACGAGGGGCATTCATACGCAATGCTTGAGTTCCTCCAATCAACCGAGCACCACTAGGTGAGTTAGACATGCCTTTCAAGAAGTGGAAGGCTGCACCTCCAACAGCACCCATACCAAAAGCACCACCAATATCATCAAGAATTCGATCAGGGCATGGCTCTCGTGAAGTTTCTGGGGTCCCCATGGTTCACAAAGATAGTGCCTTTCTATTAAAAACACCCACCAAGTTTCAAAATTCCCTACAAAATTCACCCGTCAAAAAAATTGCTCAAATTTCCACAAAAAACAATATTTATTCCAAAATAAATTACATAATTGAGTCTGATCAGAACAACAATTTCAGAAAACATCTAATCTAGTTCGATTGCAACAAACTAACGTTAATTACCAACTTCAATGACGTGTAAAACCAAGCAAATTAAACATTGGAAGACATAAACTTAATAAATTGCCAAATTTTCAAGGAGACGGATTAAATATATGTTCCTGTGACAATCCTTTTTTTTTTACCTTTTCTAAGGTCAAAGCTAATTTCAATTAACCCTTCATGTATACAAAGAAAAATGGAATCTTTTTCGACGAAAACGATCATAAAAGCGATCCAATCCAAAAACCCATGAAACAAAATAAAAACATAGTAAAACCCTAGATAAACATATGACTTTTCAGATGGTGATAAATCAATTTCAAAGCAACCCAGAAAACATTTGGGAAAAATAAAAGCAATAACTTTATTATTGTTTAGCATGAATGAAATTATCGGTTTTTTTTACCTCGGTGGCGATCTGACAGAAGAGCCGAGGTCTTTTAGTGCAAAATAGGGATTTGTTATTACATATAAAAGATTTGATCATTTATGACAAGACTAGAGGAAAAGAAATATATCAGGAAACGGTCAACCCTAGAAGGCCAGAACCTTTGGGAGGGCAAAGGAATTTTCCTTTTTTAATTGGGTTCTCTCTGTTTGTTTTATTCAAATGGGCTGCATAAATTCAAGGCCCTTTGTTTTGGGCTTTTTTCGTTCTTCATTAGAGGCCTTTTGATTTGGGCTTTTACTCTTGAATCTTGGAAGTGGTTTTATCAACAACAACAGCGACAATGTTTAAAAGAAATCAAAAGAATGTGGACTTTTCCCCGCCCTTTTCTTGGGGGTGGACTTTGGATACTATGAAATTAGTATCTTTCTCAATCATCAAGTCAATTACAAGCATCATTAGAGCAAAATCCAAGTCAATTACATTAGAGAACAGTGAGTCTTTTCATTTCAGAAAGGGAAAAACACTCTAAAGCATCATTAGAGCAAAATCCAAGTCAATTACAAGCATTTCAAAGAGATCATCAAGTCCCATCAAGCTTCCATTTTCAAACACCTAGTTGACCCCTAAAAGTGCAAAAAAAAAAGAAAATGGAAAAAATAATACAAGTACATCTCAGGCAATCCATCAAATATTCACAAACTTATTCTATGATCATCATAGATAACGAACCATCTGAATGATATGTCAACTTTCATGAAAGGATTGCAAATGATAGATTTGAATGATATGTCAACTTTCATGAAAGGATTGCAAATGATAGATTTGAAATTTTGAACCCCCAAATTTGAACTTCATGCCACCAGAACTTCTCCACTTGAAAGGTAAGAAATTTCCCCACTTCTAAAAGTCAACCTCAGATATGAACTGCAGGATCAAGTGGTGTCTTTTCTTTCTCATTGCTACCAACTGAAAGCAGCCAAATTCCCCAAAAGTTCTTAGAAAGTCAGCTAACAGATAAAGACAGGTTTCAGTTTTATAACTTCTAATTAGAAAAAAAGAAAAGGAAAAAAGAGTCACAACTTACTTCGTAGAGTTGAAAGTTCAGAACTCTTCAATACATGCAGCCTCTTTGCAGTAGAAACAAACATGCTGCCAAATAAATGTACTCCAGGATCAAAATTATTGGAACCAATTAAAAAAGATCAATTTTCATAAAAAAAAATTATAGTTTGATTCAAGTTTATATAAAGGTAGCTTCAATAATCATGATAGATATCATAATCATTACACTAAAAGGAATTTGGGTCAGATTATATGCCAGCAAGTTTTCATTCTGAAGAAACAGATGTTTTTGTACCGAATTTGGCAGTTGAATAATAGTTGAAGGTTTCATTTGTGTAAGCTGATGTTATAAGCTAAAGAACAATATAAAGGAAAATGCTTACTGCCATGGGACATCCCCAACAAGCACCCTGTCTCCTTCATCATCTTCATAAATTAGAGTATATTCCCCACATCCAGCTAATGAACCTGCATCTGCTTTTTCTAATTCCTCACTCTTGTTTTCATTTTGGGTGGCAGAAGAATCTCTTTGAGCTAGTGTAAGTGTAACAAACTGGTCAAAGTAAGCTAATATACAGTAAAATGTAAGAAAAAGTAAGCAATAACTCTGGTGGAATTATCAGGTTTGTAGACAACCTGCAAGTAGACCACTGAACAGCTCATCTATAGCAAGTGAGAGTTCCTCATAGCTGTTATAGGCGCCGAGATTCACTTTCCTTCCGATGGGGATTCCTTCCATGTTGATCTTTACAAACAACTGAGGTTTGGAATTTTCTGGTTTTCCTCCAGTGTCCTCCTCCTTTTCATTTGGTGATTCAGAAGCTGGTTTGGACGAGCTGCTGCTTGCAAGATTTTTCCTGAATGACCGAATTGGAGGCCACCCAACAACTGGGGAATATGCAATTCTGCTCATTTTGAGGCAGTAAGAGGAGCAGATAAGAAAAATGATATAGCTTCAGTGGCAGCAGCCAGGCTGCCAGGGGCTAAGCAATACAATTTTATATATAAAAAAAAACACTGCATTTATTACTACTCAAAACAAACCACAGGAACATCTATCCCATCCCAGTTATGTTTGAATCAAACCATGCTCATCCCCTTGAACAAAGCGTTGGTGCCATTTTGCCTAAAGTTATTGACATTTAAATAAACTCCCATTTCCACAAAGATAGTACAGTTTTCTTTTATCCTTACTTAAAGATCAGAATAATATTTTTCTATAACTTTTTGTTATGAACCACCATGTAAATTGACCTTTATTAAATTTTAACACATGAAAGGATTTTTTTCTCTAATACAAACAAAGTAAAGTTAAAGGATAACAACCTTGTATTTGAGGTATTGTTTGTGGTGGTATCTGCATCAGCACTAGCAAGACTAGAACATGCTTTCCTATCAGCAAACTGAACCTCTGACATCCTATAGCTACATGGCTGTGACTGTGAAAAGTCCTTGGCCATGCCAGCAAGCTTCTTGGAGATTGGTAAGTTTTGGAAAAATGAAGCCCTTGAATGTTGTGGCTCCTTCTTGGTGTCTTTCTGAAAAGCAGAATATTGTGTAGAGCCAGATGGCCATGGAATTGGAGTACAATTCACGGTATCACCTGTTTTCTTAATACACGAAATCTTTTGGCATTGGTTTTCTCTAGTATCTCTCGACCAGTCTTTCACTCCTATGCTTGTTTCAGCTGTGTGTTGGAAAGCTCTCTTTGTTCCATCAATCGAATTGTTGTTGTAGCCAAGGAATTCTCCTGGAGGGCCAAGCCTCAACTCCAACTTTCTGTCTTCTGAGGCTTTATTGTTTTCAAGCCATTCATTGTTCATGGGATTTAGATTCAGCAACTGAGGATATTCCTCCATCTTATTTAACCACTGTTAGAAGGGCAAAATGAAAGAGATCCTACCTGGTTGCACAAAGAAACTATATTTTGGTTATTGGAAAATAAGCATAGTTCAATGGAGTCAAAGCCAGGGAAAATTACTAATTCCTGGTAGGAAGGTAACAGAACTTCAATCAAGAAACTAATTGGAATGATGTAGATAAGAGAACTGCAGGAAAGCAAAATAATTGAAAAGAAGTAGGATTAATAAAAGCAGAAGCCAATAAGATATTTTTAGATAGGCCTACTTGTGCATACCTAAAGGCTAAAAACAATCTAAAAAATCTAAATAGTTCCAGCCTATGTATGAAGTTTGCTGCTTTCCAAGGAAAAGGACAACCAGACACATCTAGCAACCAGAACTAAACCACACCACTCTGTGAATAAAACTTGGTGATATATGGCAAGCTTGTGGAGGAAATATAGCTAGGTGGCTCTTTTACTTATTTCAAGTTTTCTCTTATAGTTTCCTCTTTGGAGCGAGTATAGACAGGCAAAAGGAAATTGCAGAGAGATTTCTTTCCTCCACAACACTAGAAATGGAAAATAGAACATGAGACACGCAACAGCTTGAACATAATGGAATTGGTGGTCATATTACTTTGATGCATAGCCTAGACAAGACAACATTGTTCTTATTCTTTTGTCAAGAAGCAAATGCTAGCCTGGACTCGTATGATGCTTATCCTACGCTTAGGCACATGGACGTGGCACTTGATAAAAAGACAGCATTGTTGTTCACTTTCTTTGTCAATATAACTTGATATACGTACAATTATACATTTGATTAAATACATAAACACCCTCTAACATATTTTCCTCTGCTGTATAAAGCTGATTTCTGACACAATCTTTTTTTGTATACAAGTACATATATACTTCTCTTTTCTGGGTATAAAAGAGGCAATAAACCTTGTTAAGATCAGGGAAAAGCCCTGTCCATAATTATTAGCAATTGCAACTGAGCAAGAGTAAAGTGTAATATAATTAAATGCTTTCCACATCATAGGAATAGGATTCATTCAAAAGAGGAAAGAAAAAAATATCATGTGCTGCATCCACATCTCTTGTCCACCTTTCACTACAATTTGTCCACTAGTTAAGTAAACCCAGTCAACTCCACCCATATATCCAAAGCAAGAAAATATTTCAAACATTATTGAACTGAGAAACTAGAATCCTGATTTAAAAGAGAACTCAAAGTATTAATCATACTTTACAATGCCTTGATAGCAGTCATTATTAAATTGTTGACTCCATTAAAACTCTTTCAAGCATGCTTTCTGAAATCCGCGTTTCGTGGATGGGTGGAGAAGCCTACCTTTGTTTTGATGGGTTTAGCATTTTGGACAATGAAGTTATTTTCAAGTTAGTATATGTATTTTTCTTCTTTTCAAAGTAGGCAATGGAAACGTTCAATGAATATTGGAAGAATAAAAAAAAAAAAAACCTAAAGTCTTGGTTATCATTATTAGCAGAACAACTAACCCTTTTAAGCTCGCCATCTGTAAATGGTGGTGGAGCCCTAACATCCCACTTATTATTGAGATATGATCGATCACTGCCTGCCCTGATAATTCCCAACTTCACTTTAAGAGGAGCCTTTTTGGACCTTTTTTGCTTTATTCCTCCCTTTTCTTCTCTTTACTTCTTGATCGTTATTATCATTGCAAGTTTGTCTCCTGCTAATTTCCAGCCAACCAAATCTCTTCTTTTTCTATCATTCTCTTTCTTAATTCATAGCTACTATATCAAGTATGCTTAAAATCTGAGGAATCACTTCATTTTGCACCTGTAAAATCGATTGCATCTGCTACATTAATCATCTTCTACTATGATTTTTAGGAAGAAAATTCTTTGCCGTTTATAAAAGAGATTTGATGGTGATTTTAAAGAAAGCATGCATGTAGTTTGTTTGTTTGTTTGTTTACTGATAAATCATGACTTGATTGGTCTTCTAGACACCCTGATGAGTCACAAAACCAGACACAAGACAAACGCTGTGCCTGGTTCTGTTTTTGCACAGCTTTTAAATGTTGATTGGGTATACATTATTCTATTCTCTTTATTCATTTTCCCTCCTCTCTCCAGAGCCCTGCCAAAAATACACCACCAATAATAGAATCAAGTGTATGGATTCAGTTGGGAAATCTGGGGGCTATCTTTCCGACAACGAAAGCCCGAGACCTCCAAATCCAAATCTTGAAAGTATAGAGCGAACTTGAATGGTTGAATTTGACAAACCACCGCATCACTCCAACATGAACCCTTCATTTCCTTTCAACTTCAAAGTGCGGGGAAGACCTTGACCTTTCGCCTAGGAGACCTTAAATTTGGAACTTCAGATCAGGCCACTAAGGCTGTCAACTTTCCATAAAGTTTGTGATGCCTCACTGTATATATCCCTGCCAACCCACCAAAAAAAGGAAAGAGTTCGGGCGGGCGCAGGGGAAACAACTCGATCAAAAGCACAAGGAAATATAAAGTGCCATACTATTGTAACTAATATTGATAATATAGTTAGATATTCAATACATAATTACTTCTGCATCATTTACAACATATATCCTTGTTTCCATAGCAATGAACTAATTTTAGTGAAGGCTATTCAGCACCTGACAGGGCATGCACCTCATGCTTTTTGAGCAACTGTAGCCTGTCTCACCATCTGAATAAAAACCAGACAATGCAATTACTAAAGAAGTTAGTACATATTTGCATAATTACAAGTTATAAACATGCTGGTGTCGGTGCATATAATGGAATACAGCAAAATGTGAGACCTGAAAGTAAACTTCGAGCTTTCTCCTCAAGATTGCATACTCTTGTTTGACCTGTTGAAAAGTCCTAATACATGCATCTATAAAATCAAGATATTGAATTCACTTCAGAAAGGGTTTGCAAATTTATAACAGACGTAAACATAAAGATCTGTCTGCATGGAATTAATGGAAGGAAGGAGAATAACGTGGACAATAAACTTACCCTTCATTTTCAGCGCTGCAGTATTCTCTGAACACTCTGCATTCATTCGTCACCTTTTTTAGCCCAGTGATTCAAGTTGATTGTAAACAACATAACCAAGTAAATCAAGAAAACAATTACATTGCTACTAATATGCTAGTAACATCAATTCACTTTTTTTATTTTTTTTATTTGGGTATTTGAGGATTTGCTTGGAGCTGCTAACTTGAATTGATGATGTAATCATCTAGTTTGGAATTAAAGTAAATAAATAAAAAGTTAAGGTCATTTGAAATATATAATTTGCTTAGTTTGGAATCCAACTAACAGTTGATTTTATAAAATTGATAAAATCATTTGTGAGCAAATTTTACTATACAATTCATTAATTCAATTTTAGTGTGGTTCCAAACAAGCCGTATGCAAAGTTATTCTAGACTAGCAAAAACATTCTGGCTTTTCAACAATTCAATTTAACAATTACAACAGGCTTACATTTGCCAATGCATTGTCAAGCAATGCAACAGCATTAAGTATAAGATAAAAAATAGAACTATGAAATGATGATTACTTGAGATATCTCGAAGAAGCCTCTGGAGCAGATGGCTGCAAGAGCAAGACACTGCAAACGGAAACCAGCGCCATTGTCTCCGGTACACGATTATGACGAACTGATCCAGGTCTTTTCAAATATTTACTTTCAAGTCCACCACAAGACCTGCTTTAATGCAAAAACCAATCAAAAAGTTAGATTGATCAAAATTCTGTTTTCATCAATGAAACAAGGCGAGAGTACACTGAAGATGAGAGGCGAGGAGAAGAATTGGAAAGGATTAAAAATTGAGAGAGAACTGCGCGACCCTGTTTTTTTTTTTTTTTACTACTTTTAAATTTTTCACATAATAGATTTTGTTTGGTGAGTTATGATTTTTCTCCGATTTAAGAATTTTCACGTAAAATTTGTGTTGCAATATTTTTCATGTTTTTTTTTTTTTATTTGATGTATCCTGTGAAAGTAGATTCAAGTGATGGTAGAATTCGACGTTTTTCATTCGTATAGTACTGTTCATGTATATGATACTATTTACTTATAAACATTATTTATTTAGATAAAAATTATGATTCCGTGCATTTGATTTTTTTTTTTTTTTTTGTGAAAGAAAAAAATTGTTCTGTTGTAATTTAGTTTCTTTGAGTATGTTGGTAATTGTAATTAACATATTAATAATAAAATCATTTTAACGATGATTATCAATTATGGAATATTTTTATAAAAATCATCAAAATTAGTATTGTTATTTTTATTTTAATAAAATCTAATACATGTTCATATATATAATTTAGAAGTTATTAGAAAATAAAAAATATTATGGAGTATATCTCTCGTATGATATTTTCAATATTATTTATAAATATCTCTCGTATGATATTTTCAATATTATTTATAAATATACATGATTTTAAGTAGGATTTCGTACAAGTATTCTATTTAAAGGGAGTATATTACTTACAATTTTTTTACTATAATATTACAATTATTTAATTAAAATAAAATTTTGTGTAAAAGTTCGCTATTTATAAATATAAGTTTCATATAAAATTTTTATGGATTCTACGTAATCTTACATTGTTATTAGTTAACTGTTTATTATAGTTATTATAGGTGATATGGTTCTATTTTAAAATCAACTGTAATCTAATCAATGGAAACTTGAGAATATTATGCAATAATAATTTCAAATTATTAAAAATGGTTAGATTACTATTGAGATGATTTAAATACCATTCAAAAAATTTTAAAAATTATAGAAAAAGTGATTTTTAAAATCATTAAAACGAATTTATCCTCTAAGTGCTATTTATAAAAATGTGTTTCTACATAATTTATGTAATAATTAAATGTGAACATATCAAACTAAATTCATTAGAATTGATTTTGACCTTATATCTTAATTAGAAACAATGAATTAATTCACATCTTATAATTTTCTATATGAACGATGAATTCTTATCTTAAAATTTTCTATATAAAACAATGAATTCTTATTTAATAAATTATTTTTTCAATAAAAGTTAAAATTGTTATTTTTTTTTAAATAATCTTATTATTAATAATAAAAGTGTTGTGAGTGTTTTATATTTTTATGTAATATGATGATGTCAATTCGTCAGTTATTTATAATATTATATCAAATATAATAATATAATATCATCAATAATAAAATCATTATCATAATTAGCAATCATCATAATAATTAAATAATTACAACAATATTAATGATAAAATCAAATGATATTTTAATATTTCTGAGATCGAATTTAATAATAAAGCTAAAATGCTAAAAAAATTCTTATATTTTATCAAAATTTTTAAATAAGCTTTTATCCATTTATTATATCCAATTGAATGCTTAAAGCATTGTTTTTATTTAATTAAGTTCATATTTTGCATGAAAATCACAAAAATCGTTTAAAAAATAAAATTTTAATAAAACAAAATAGTAATTTAAGGTCTTAATTAAATAAAAATAGTATTTTAAAGGTTTAATTAGATAAAAATAATATTTTAAATGTTTAATTATGTATAATTAAAATTTTATCTAAGAAATTACAAAAAATATAAAGGCTCATGCGTTTTATTATTATTATTATTTTAAATATAGCCACCCCGAATATGACTTGAGAAAATTTATGGGATTGGACCGGGCGACCGGTCTACAATGGTTAGCTTTCGTTTATTGAACTCCTGATGTACAGATTTATCACGGGCTTGCTCTAATGGGCTGGTTTAGTTTGTTTCGGCCACAGAATTTTGTAGAAGAGAGGAAAAGAGAACAAAAGGGATAACAAACAAATTTCCTGAAGGAAAAGTTCGGCGTGGGGCGGGGATGTTTACAATGGCGCGGTGACAGCATAAACGTTCATAAATCATAGATCTCTTCATTTCCAAAAAAACCCTAAAAAAGAAAGAAAAAAAGAAAGCTATTACAAGACTTGAAAGAAGAAGATGGAAGACGAAGTAGAGAGGCGACAGATCGAACAGATTCTGGAGCTCGATCAAGAAGAGTTACAGATCGAAGAAGTCGAAGGTTTTCTCGAATCATCCGATGACGATCGTGATACTAAGTAACTACTGCAAGCTTATAGAAATTTCTTTCCTTTTTTTTTTCCACAATTTGATTCGTTTGTACAGTTGCATTTGGAATTTATCGTCGTTTTATCGCTGCGTTTTAGTTGAATTTAGGGTTTAAGAAAATTTTAAATTTATTAATATTGCAGATTGAACTCTTTCTGAAACTCACCTGATTGTTTTTTTGTTTAAATTAAATTAAACAGTTTTATGATATATTTCAGTTCGATTGCTAGGGTTTACTATTGGTTTCTAATTTTGTTGTTCATATTGTAGTGGCGTTGCTTCAACTGAAGACTTTACCTTCAATACCAATTTGACTTCCCTACATTCATATCTCGGCGGTAATGATGTACTCTCTATTTATCATAACAAAGTTTATGGTCAGTCTTGTATAAACAGTTTTGAGTTTTACTTCATTAAATGCATATGGCAGAGGTTGATGATACGCGCCACAGATCTGCTTTTTGGGAAGGTGGTGCTATCTTGAACATCCCATTGTTCTATCTTGAAGGTATTTATTCATATGCTGTTTATTTTGGTCTACACTGCTTGGCACAGTTCTGATTGCACATGTTCAAAAATTGTGGTTCTGGAGGTATTGATTTATCAAAATTCTTGGTGTGGTTGATTCGTAAAATTAGAAAATTTTAGGAACATTAGATGTTTAACTTTTTTAATGGATTTTGATTGATGTGCAACCGTGATAGAATGGCTTCAGAAAAGTTGTACATAAGTTTGAGGCATGTATTATAGCTTTTGAGCTCTATAACCAGTCTTTAATGGTTTGTTTTTGAATCACATGCTTTCATATTATTATGGTTGATAATCTTCCTCTTTTTGTATTAACAGATTGAAGAATTTAAACCCTTTTGTTTAATATGTACCAGGGGTAGTCCTGTTCCCAGAGGCAACACTCCCTCTTAGAGTTATTCAACCCAGATTTATAGCTGCAGTTAACAGAGCAATGAACCAGGCTGATGCTCCATACACCATGGGTGTGGTAGGTGAACTCTCCATCATATCTTCTCTTTTTCACTTTTTTTTGCATATGTGATTTCTTTCTTCTTGATCTTTTTCTTGGATAGTGAAACAATAGTTGAACTTTCTTCCAGGTCCGTGTTTATAGAGACTCTGATAATGGACCATTAAGGCTAGCAAAAATAGGGACAACTGCAGAGGTATACTTGCTGAAACTTGCTGTTTTTATATTGTTGCTTGCTGATAGGCATTTAACTTGCGTTTTGTGACATTTTATTTCTAACAACTTATAGTATTGCGTAAGAGTTGTTACATGTTTGAGGGAAACGCCTGCCTAAAATGCCTCCTTTTGGCACACACCAGACACATACACAAAGAAAAAGGTTATTCAAGATTTGAAAAAATGCAGTGTGACATGTTCAGTTATAGGTGTATATAAGTAGGTGAGGAAAAATGCTATTGCCAACGAATATGCATTGTCAAATTGAATTCTGCTTGATAAACTTGTTTTATTGGACCAGAGAAAATTATATGGTTAAAGTATGTCTGTATGTGTTGTGGTGTACCCTTGTGAGCACATTTTAAGTTCCACTCCAATTTGATAATGATTTTAAGCTTGAGTACAGTTGTTTTATAATACTTAAGTGCATTAATTCTTGTTTGCAGATTCGACAATATCGTCCGGTAGAGGATGGTACAATTAATGTGGTTACTCGTGGTCAACAGCGGTTTCATTTGAGACGCCGTTGGATTGATGTGGAAGGAGCAGTAAGCAAAATCTTTTTCTTTTTTTTTGGAAAATATTCTTAAATGTCTTTATTGTTAGTGCCTATATGATAGAATGCTCATTTGCTATAAACTCTCATCTTTTAAGCCTTGTGGAGAGATTCAAATTATTGAAGAAGATGTGCCATTTAGAACCCCGCGAGATGCATATGCAAAATTGGCACCATTAAGTAATCTGCGAAGTCAACAGATGCCATCTTTAAATGCTTCATCACTTGGAGGTGGGAATGAGGAAAATGATTCAGAAGCAAATTCAGAGGAAAGCTTTGAGAGTGAACTTTCTCAAACAGAAAGGAGAATTCATCAAGCTGCAATTGGTTCTTCTTATGAGTCTGATAGGACGGATGAGTCATTAAGTAGTAATGATGACGATAAATTGTCTGAGTCAGATGACCAATCAGAAAGTCCATGTCTAAATGACTCTAGCTTCATACTCTCATCACCTTCTAACCATGAAAAACAAATCAGAAATGCTGGCTTGGGAATTGGGACCAAATCCATGGCTCGCAAAGTGTCACGACCAAGGTCTCATCCTTCACGTACAGTTTCAAGAGCATTCTGGCCCTATTGGGTATATCAAATGTATGACTCATATTGTCTTGCTCAAAAGGCAGCAGGTATCCCAACTTTGATTTTAGTCGTTTCCCTATGCTCCTTTGCAGCCACCTCATTCACTTTGTTTATTTTAAAGATTTTTCTATGTTAGTGATTCATGAGCATATTGTTTGTTCTTGTCTGGTATTTAGTTGAAGGTTTGACAGTTACAAAGAATTTTTGTGGAAGAAATTACATATGGTTCCTGGAACATGCGGATTTTCAGAATTTAATTTAAGACAACTCATTTTGGTCATTTGTTTGGAGCACTGATGTTCCCGTTTTCTATCATACTTTGTGTGCTTGCAATGAGAGTTTCTTTTCTTTTTCTTTTTTTTTTTTTGTGATACATTTGAAAAAGGAATAAAAAAATACTTTATATGCACAGACATACATAGGCATTATTAGCAAAGATTCTCTTCATGTCTGCTAAAATTTCTGCTTATGTAGTTGTTTCCTTTTGGCCCGGTCTTGTTTTCAAATCTAAACAATGTTAAATGTTTTGTATTGCTATATTTGCAGATTTGTGGAAACAAATTGTTGGGAAGCCTAGCATGGATGGCTTTGTGAAGAAGCCTGATCTTTTATCTTTTTATATTGCAAGTAAAATTCCCATCTCTGAACCCACAAGGCAGGAGCTTCTGGAAATTGATGTCATTTCATGTAGACTGCGCCGGGAAATTGAGTTACTTGAAAGACTTGATCGTATTCAATGTAGGATATGTCAGGTACTACTACGACTACTATACTCTCTCTTGTGTGTATATGTGTGTGAGAATACCTGCATCATATATTTGCATGCTTTCTTCTGTTCTTAATGCTCAAACATGCAGCCCTATGGGCTATGTCTTTGCCAATTTTTATTCCATTGTCTTAGTTTTTTTCTTCAGACTGTAATTGCTAGGCGCAGTGATATGTTGGTGATGTCTAGTGATGGTCCTCTGGGTGCTTATGTTAACGCATATGGCACTGTGCATGAGGTAATGACTTTTTGTAAAGCAAATGGCTTAGCACTCATAGGCTTGCCGGATAAAGAGTACAGCTGGTTTCCTGGGTATGTTCTTAAACTCTCTCTTTCTCAAGGGCTAGTATGATGCTAATCATGTTACACTAAATAGCATGGATAGTTGACACCTTTTCATCTCATAGTGGATTGTCATATCATTTTGCCTTGGGGTTAATAGGGGAGGTTCAGATTTTCAATGTTCTTTTGATGGCAGTGATAAAGTTTCCTTATAGGATAATTGACTTTTATTTAAATTCTAGCTGGGAAAGCAATCCATAGCTTTGGTTAGTAACTGGTAATGAAGAGTAACAAGATATTTTAAAGAGGATAGGGCAGGAAAGATACCATGTTGATGTAGTTGGCAAGAGCAAAGTGATTCAGTTCTGGCTTTCATGATTTTCATTGCATTATTGCAAGTCCGTATCTGTGATTGTACACGAACGGTTGACAAACGAACATTTACTCCCTTTCGACAAATTTGTGTTGGTGTATATGGTAGTTGGTGGAACTTAATAGTTGGGAGGCTGTAAACTAGTAAATTGGGTATAAATCAATATGCAAAGTCTGTTGACATCTCCATGAATTGCAATATTAACTTGTGATTGTTCTCGTAATTCCTTTTTTTGGCCATATATTTATATAACCATGATTAACTTAATTGCTTCTTTCTACAGGTATGCGTGGACAATCATAAATTGTGCATCTTGTGAAAACCATATGGGGTGGCTTTTTACTGCTACAAATGACAAGTTGAAGCCTAAATCTTTCTGGGGTATAAGGAGTTGTCAAGTTACTGATGAAATGCGTTAAAACTTAAAAACCATATGTTCTCAAGTACGCTCTAAATCATTTCTCTAGTTAATATGTGACCCGACTATTAGAGCTTATATTGTGTATATAACTTTGGAGCACTATCTCTTATGACATGTAGCCTTCATCAATGAAAAGATCAGCGTTCATGCTGCTATTTTTAGCAATCTAACTAAAGCCATAGTCCATGTGATTGCAAGAGCCTAAGTTGATCTGGTTATAGAGTCGCTATTCTAGCGTTTTCCCAATTATTTTGTTGTATTGTCAAGCAGATCGGTGGAATATAAAGCTGAGTTGGATTCAATTTGGCATTAACCTCAATTACAAGATTAGAGAAATCAATAGGTCCTAACAGTCATGCTATTAATCTCAATTACAGGAACTAGAAAAATCAGAAAACCGAGGCATAAACAAACAATAAAGGAAATTGGGAGAACATAAAACAGTGAGGCTGTGGCTGCAAATCGCAGACAAGTAAAACATAGGACTCTGCTTCAAGCCTTTAATTTCAACGGAAGGTTCTGTAGACTGGGCTGTACATGCAGCTCTCCGCATACTTGACGAGATCCTCAGGCTGAGGAAGGTGAGAAGCCAGACCTAGAACAATCAAAGAAAGTAAATAGCTGAATATGGAGGACAGTGAGTTTAAGAGCTTAACACATTATAAAAGGAAAGGGACATGACATGGACGTGCATCAGGTTTCAGACAGGAACTCACCAAGTTCATATGCCTTGGCAGCAACCTTAGCAGCAATATTGGCTGATATCTTTCTGATATTTGAGAACGGTGGGTAAATCATTCCCTTTTCGTAGTGTTCCTCAGACACTTGTGAAGCCAAAGCTTCCGCTGTCACGGGAAAAAAAGAAAGCAGTTAGGTCCAATTGCTCACCATTTCCATGGGTAGAAAAATAACCAAACGGTTAGTAAATCAGGAAAAAAGGCGTTTTATATAAGGATTTTCATGAGGCATTTTGAGTGAGGCCAGCTTTTTGGTGGCTTGGTGCACTTACAGGCTGCCAAAAGCATGTCATCATGTACACGAATTGCACCAGAAATGATCACACCCAAACCAAACCCAGGGAAAATGTAAGCATTGTTTGCCTGAATTACATCAAACAAGAGTAACAAATAGTATAAGAAAATCCGGGTGCAAGTAAATTTCAAACTCAAAAAGATACGTGAGGTACAGATAGAACCTGGCCAGGCACGAAGACTTTGCCATCATATTCAAAGGAGTCAAATGGGCTTCCACTGGCAAAGATTGCACGACCCTGCAGAAGAAAATTGGGAAAAAAGTTAAAGATTACAGAAAGAGTTTTAAGACTAATTTACTTTAATCTGTACAAAATTCCATGCTACAAGACATCTCATCTTAAAGAACATAAAGAGAATTGCATGTCATATACCTCACTCCATGTATATGCTTCTTCTGCTGTACATTCAGCTTGCGAGGTTGGGTTGGATAGAGCCATGATAAGAGGTTTCTGCAAGTCAGTCATCAGGATTAGTATACAACTCTTCAGTTGGAATGATATCGACATGCATACAGAGTTAAAAGAACCTTATTGAAGGATGCCATGGCCTCAACAACCTCCTTTGTGAATTGTTTTCCCACTCCGGATGTTCCAATAAGGACAGTTGGCTTGATTGCCTGATTAATCAAGACAAAGGTGAGAAGGAAAGAAAAAAAAAAAAAAAAAAAAATATATATATATATATATATATATATATGAAACAATTGTGTTTTGAATCTGGATGAATAATTCAAGATAAGTGACATACCTTGACAGCATCTACGAGTTCCTTGACAGGTTCGTGCTTATGAGCCCAAGGTTTCTTGAAGTGTTGAAGTGACTCCTTGCGAGAGTCAACAATCAATCCCTGCCACACAATTTGAACTCATCACGGTGAGAAGGGATAGATAAAAATATGCCAATTTTAAAAAGAAGAGCTACCATCTTTTTTACAAGATGTTCAGATGAGATTCACAGTACCCTTGAGTCTACAAGCCAAATCTTCTTGCGGTTCTCTTCAATTGGATTTCCGGTCTGTCAAGAAACCGTACATGTTTAGCCATAAACCTTTTATGAGGAAACAAATATTTAGGATAAAAAAAGTGAATGAACTTGTTACCTGCTTCGACATTTCAAGAGCTATGAGCTCAGCTATGCCAGTTCCGGCCTGTCAACACCGAAAAAGAAACACAATTAAGACGTTAAACATGTATAATAGGTTTTCTCTCTTTATAAGTAAAAATAGTGGGGGGAGATTAAGTGATATAAAGAAAAATATTGCTAAGAATTGATGAAATCTAAACAGGCTAATTAGAAGTGTTGTCCAGAAAAATTCAGTTTCCCTATTAAGCATTACCTCTCCAGCACCCAGGAACAAGAACTTATGGTCCGAGAGAGTTCCACCAAGTAATCTCAGGGCTGCAAGAAGCCCAGCCAGCACCACAGATGCTGTACCCTGCCATTATGGAAGAGTTGCTACGTAAGAAAGAATATTTCTCACAACTAAAATAATGTTACCACCATGAAGGAAAAAAGAAGAGGGGAATCTAGTTAGAGTGTATTACCTGTATATCGTCGTTGAAAACGAGATGAGTAGAACTGTATCTTGCCAACAGCTCAAATGCATTGTGGTTTGCAAAATCTTCAAACTGAGAATCAGGCTTAGCTTATCAGTAAACAGAGCATGTAAAAATCCAGAAGTAAAGGCCTAAAATGAACGTGAACTGATGATTACCTGTATTAGGACTTTCTCTCCATAATTCTGCTTAACTGCTGACATGAACTCATGAAGAAGTTCAGCATATTCCTACACCATAGAAATCGATGTAATTCAGTATTTCAGATAAGTAAATACATTTACGTCATAACAAATTATGACTGGATGGAAATATAGAAGAAGCAAAGGAAAATCACTAAACCTGTCCAGTTGCCCTCCTTTGCCTGAGCCCAGTGTAAAACTCATCATTTAACAACTTCTCATTGTTTGTCCCAACATCAATAGTTATAGGCAAGCACTGCAAATATCAAATGAAGGTTGTAAACAATTATATGCCAATTATCTGATTTAGGAAATAATTTACACTGTTTGGTAAGCTGCAGAAAGCCTTTGAATCAGCATCATATATGTTGGGAGGCTACTGTGGCATTATTGTAACCCAAATTTTGACTACAAAGTCACCTATTGGGGAAAAAAAAGAAATCAATCAAGAAACAAAATGGTTTTAGTAATGCTTACCGCTGAGGGACGGACTCCTCCCAGAGCTGTGTACAGAGAAAGTTTTCCTACTGGTATACCCATTCCCTGAAAACAAACATATTATTAAAAATCATTAAGTTGGTGTAAGTGAGAGAGAGAGAGAGAGAGAGATGATCATAGTTTCAGCTCACAGCTTCAATACAAATATCACATTACCTGGCAACCAAGATCTCCAAGACCCAAAATTCTCTCACCATCAGTGACAACAATAACTTGAACACTTCTCTCAGGCCAGTTTTTCAGTACTTCAAGAATCTTCCCCCTGATAGATTGTGACGCTTAGTTAATGTTATGCGACAGCAAGACATAAAGGGATAGAAGGAATACATACAAAGAACACAACCAAACACATACTTCTCTTTCAAGCTGATGTAAAGACCCTGAGGGCGCCTGAAAATGCTCCCATATTTTTGGCAAGCCTCACCTACTGTTGGAGTGTACACAACTGGAAGCAGTTCCTCCACATTGTCAACGAGAAGCTTGTAGAAAAGTCGCTCATTCCTCTCCTGTAAAATGCAATAGACCATCAGAAAAGTTAATTTGTCAATAGATGTCATATCATTAGCCAATGAGATCCAAAAAGGATTCAACTAAAAGTGCCAGAACTGAAAAAAAGGGTTTAAAATCACTTGGATCGACTATCAACGTGGAGAATGCAAACACATGAACAAGTACCTGAAGATCCATCATGGCCATGTATCGTTGCAAAGGAACTTTATATTGGCGAAGGTTATGCATCAGCTTCTTCTCCTGAAGCTCCTGACTGAGAACAACAGGAGGAAGAAGGCCTCGCAGGTAGTGTGCATCTCTCTCATTCTCAGTGAAGGCAAGCCCTTTGTTGTGACGTGGGTCCCGCATCAAGGAATACCCACTGTAACAAGAACAACAAGATCTAACTTGAGTTGAGAGAGAACCAAAAAAATTTCAAATCATCACCATTTTTTCTCTAAATTTGGAAACTTCAAATCAATCGAGACACTTAAAAGCTAGTGAAAAGAACAAGTGTATATAAAGGCAAGAATAATAGCAGTAGCTTTTCTGTTTATGTTACAACATAACCACTTTGTTTGCAGGTTTCAGTTTCCCCATCATTAAAAACCCAAAAATGTTTATATCATCATTGAAATTAGTCGACACAAAATGAATAATCACAAAAAAGCAAAATTTTCTATTGTGGCATTGCGTAAGTATGTAAACGACAACAACCATGACAAATATATTTTATATTGGTCATATGATAGAAGATTTAACTTTTATCATTATATATTACCAACAGAAACTTTATTTGCAAAGATAAACAAAGGTATGATCTTTATACTTTTCAGATCTAAAATGTATGAACAAGAATTATTACTAGTAGTTTAAACTTTAATGGATCCAAAAATCTAAACATATATACTATAGTATAAAACAAAAACAGAAAATTGAAGGAAGATAATATTGGCATTGGTGCAGAAATCTGAGTAAATCACCTAGCAACCGAGACAGTCCAAGGAGTGACAGGCTGATCCAACGTGGCACTATCCTCACCGTACATATCCTCAACACCACCAGCGACAGTGGACTTGTTATTCACCAAATCACCACCGTTCATCATTGTTCTCTGTAATTATAACGACCAAGATTTTCTTTCTTCTCCACCCAAGACCGGTCTCTGCAAAACCAAGAAAACTTGGGAAAGAAAAAAACAGAACAGAAAAACAGGGCAGAGAAAAACAAACTTTTGTCTCTATGGTTCAGAAAATAAAAACCAACCCTTTTTTATAGGCAAAGTAAATGCAAAGGAAAACCCAAAAATATTGTTTGAGGCAACTTGAAAATCAAAGCTTGGCAATGTCAAAGAGAATAAAAAGTAAGCTGCTATGGACCACGTTGAGAAATGGATGTTTA